ACGGTTCAGTGAAAAACTTTATTAACTGAATTAGACACAAAAACAAAAAATGTTAAAGAGCCTTTATCAGTAAGTTTAGTAAACTATAACGATAAAGAGACATAGACTTGTTCATGAAAATGGCTTTTTAGTCTAATTGGTAAATGATGAAAGTTTCGAATGTCTTTACAAAGTAATAAATCGAAATTATTCCAACCTATAAGCATGCAAGGGTCTCAAAGAGGTAATTAGTCTAACTAGAAAGCTTCTTTGAAGTAATATAACGACATTAAGAAATTAGGGTAGCATTATATTCAAGAGTTGCTACAAAGGAAGCTCTGTTATTAGTTCGACGAAACCTTTTCGTAATTATAAGACACTATGAATTCATAAAGTATAATAATTGATACTTTTCTTCCTATGATTTGAAAGAGATAAATTTTTATAAAATACTGTAAACAGGATCAAATATGTGTGTAAAAATGGGATTCGTGAAGAACTCGGAAACGAGTCCAAATATTAAACTTGACCATGGCGGCTTGGACACACACATGTAGCGCAAATACGGTCGATGAAGCATGATACATAATAGCTTGCAATATAGTTACTTGCATCCTTGATTCTCCATTTCTCAGCGCTCTTCCCTATTTTTTCGAACGATTGCCGATAGCGCCAATTGCCAATTGCATCGTGGTCTCTCAACACACGAGAGAGCTCCAAAAGCCAAGTACCCGCTCTTTCGATTGCTTTTCCTCGATTGCACTCTCCCGTCTCTTTCGTCGTCGTGAGCTATCTTCCTTTTTTCCTCGCGCATTTTATGGGCCAATCGAGTCCCATTTAAATTACGCTACAGACCATTCCAAGCTTTTCGCGCGCTTTCCTCTATCTTGGTTTTCTTCTTCTTTATACGGCCGTTATTTATCTCTTCACTGACTTCCAAGTGAAATCACGGGCTTGCTATTTCTTTCTTTGAAAAGAATTTTTCTGATTTCTGTCTTTACCACGTTTTTTTTATTTGATCGTAAGAGTTTCATTGCGTTTCATTAAATTCGCAGTTATCATTCTAAAAAAGTATACACTTATATTTATAATTTCGAACTCATTATTAACGTTTCGCAATAAACAATTCCTTTCAATATTCATAAATACCTTATACCTATGGAAAATAGGTTGAAATTAGAGAACGGAGAACACGGTTTTTGTTGAAAAACTCAAGTAGCGGTGATTTCGTGGTATATTTAAACACACAATTCGCTGGCTTTTGATGCGAGATGTTAATAGCCTCATAAGCAAAAGTCTCTAGGCAATAATTTACTATCTTATTCGAATGCATATGGAATATTCGTGAGCTCAACAGATCCATACTTTTATATATTTAAATATTTCTCTGAAACAAAATTTGCTTAATTCTAGTTATCTCACAGAAGCTGTGGAATCTTACAACCATAAGCGTCTTTTCGCGGCTCTCTAACGATGGCAGTAGCATTTACAGGCAGTTGGTTAATTTGATTAACCATCAAACAGTCAACCTTATCTAGCTCAGCTACAGTTTCTTCCTTTTCCTGTAAAGAAACTTTGAAAATAAACTCGAACGTTATTGATGAAAAAGCTCGTGAGAAATAATGTACATTGGCGTTTGCCTTCGTAGGTTAAAATTGTAAATTAATATTGAAGTGCACCAAGTAATTAGCGTAATAATTAGCCATACGACTAATGCAAAGGATTGATAAAAATTTTTCTGGGTGTAAAATCTGTGTGAGAGACTTGCGATCTGTAACTAACATGAATTTTATGGCATATACATAAGTAGTAGAACTTTTCCACTCCTTATACTATTCCTAAAGCTTCTTTGTCAATGTGAGGATATCACTAATCAGTAGCTGTCAGTGCATGACTGGCATAAGCAATAGGACATTTCAATCCATTCTTTAACATACGGCATAATACGGCGCTAAGACCAGTTTTGCTTACATCATCTGCAAGAAGCAAAGGCAGAGACAGATTATACGGCATGAGTCCTAGTATTGAGATGAAAATCCTTTTCATCTCTTCATATGTCTTATCAAACTCGGAAGTTCGCTAGAACGGTTCGACGAAAAGCTCGTCTCGGAGGGGATGAGCAATTGTCGCTAGATCGGGAATGAACGTAATATGGTACGTTGCTTTTTCTCTGAAAAGCTCCAACTTTTCGTCAGTAGATGACTTAGGTAAGTCACGAATAATTAATCTATTAACGATCATAAACGTCATTTTTTGGACATATTTTTGATCGCAAAATTCGATAAGAAATATGTTTTAAAATTTATAAAGAAATACTTTCAAATTTTTTGGAGTTGGAAAGAATTCGCAAAATGTTTGACAATATTTTACTCGAAAACTATAGGCTTTGGAAAAAAAAATTTATAAGAACAAAAAGTTTTAGAATTAGCCAAAGAATACTCTAGTATTTTTTTAGATTTATTTGATAACTTTTTTGACAATATTAATTTTGTGGTTTTTCGAAAAATAAGAAAATTTTTTATATAAAATTGAAACGATTTTTAGCGTATTCCTTGATAAATTTTAAGACATTTTTCCTCTATAAAATTATTTTCTAAACCTCATATTTTTTAAGAAAAATAATGGTAACGAGAAACGCATTTTTTTCAGGTTTTTGCATTTTATCCGTTATTTTGGAAAAAAGCTCATATATAAAAATTTCCTTTTAAAGTTCAACAATTTCGTGCACCGATGATTCATGAAAGATTTCGTATTGACACATTTTATACTGGAAAAAAATTTTTTACAATTTTTTGTATTAAATCACTGATAAGAATTACAAAAAATTTCATTTTCACGAAGTCGTATCACGTCTATATCGTTTATATAACTATGACCAAGATGCTCGGAAATGCCGGCTGTGAATCTTGATCATAATTATATAAACGATATAGATACGGTACAACTTTATGAAGATAAAACTTTGTAGCTTCATCGGATTTCATCCAAGTATTAAACCCATCATATTTAATTTTTTAAATAAAATTTTTAAAATTTGAGTACAGATTCATATTCAACATACCCAAAAACATAGGGAATGGTATCTTGGATCAATTTATTATTTCGTTTACACATGAATTTTGGGATTTAAAATATGTTCAAAAAATGACATCAATGATAGTTAATTCGTTTTATATTATTATTCATTTATCTTGATAAACAGATTATCCATTCCAAATCCAAAGGGATTGGTTGTTCAGTTTTATAATAACACTACCCCACGTGACTGATGTGGATTGAGAATGAATAGTCAAATCGCGTAAATTTTGAGTTGCTGAAAACGAATCTGACCAAGAAAAAACTCATTAACCTCGAGTTTTTGAGATATTCTAACCTAAAAGATAAAAAAAACACGCTTCTTACGCATATTTGAGGTTATGTAGCGTCATCAGATCATTTATTTACAAAAAAACTAGTAGATGCACCTCGAAGCATATATCTTCCCCTTCAAAATAAATTTTGAATCATCCAGATATCTTTATTTTTCAGCGAGATATGATAATTCAAAGCTTTAGTTTCTCGCTAATTTATACACCACACATAACATATGTGACAGACTAAGACTACCCTTAAAAATTTATTAATTTTTAATTCTTTATATACGTATATAATAATTCACTCAGTCATTCTATTTTCCCTCTCTCCCTCCTACCCTCGCTCACTCACTCATCTTCTCTCTCTTTCTCTTTTCTTCTCTTGCTTCTGAGAAGGAGTAAGAGAAAGAATTTTATGTGGAATAGCTCATGGTTTCTTACGTAATTTCCCACCTGATTTCCAACGTGGGATCCCACGTGGATTTTTTTGATAAGGTTGATTATTGAAATTTCAAAACGGCGATTCCAAGGTGGCTAATAAAAAATGTATAAATGATCCCAAACCTTAAGAGCTGAATCCTTATACTCACAGCCTACCTCCTAATCCTCAAGCCTCAGCTTTACCGATACAGTCTGTAAACCGATACAGTCTGTAAAATTATTAAAACTCGCTTTTCCCAGGGTTTTATGGGTTAACCGGTTTGGTAAGGGTTGTTCTTAGGGATTTCGTCGATTAGGGGGTAGGTGGTTTGAATGGATTTTCTCGCATATGATATAAAACTTAATCATTTCACGTAACACAAACGATAATACTTGCTTTTTCCAGGGTTTAATGGGTTAGTCTGCTTGTGGTATGGTAGGGGTTGTTTCTAAAAGATAGGTAGGTTTAGGGGTAGGTATTTAAGTGCACTGGAAGACTAGAAAGTAGACAATCATGTAATTTCCATATTTGGTTTAGAATTTATGTTTTTTTACTACCACATGAGTTGACAATGTAATCTGTATTTTTTCCCTTTAATTAATTGTGGGTTTGGCTTTTAATATAATTAGGGGGTGGTTTCAACTTCTAAAAAGCATATTTCGGAAAAATGAAAAAACACAGGTTCAATATATTTTAGCGTGCTATCGATGCATAAAGTTTCATTTTAATAGGTGAGTGACAGTGGGGTAATGTTATTTGTTAGTTTGTTACATACGTTATGTATGGTGAATAAATTGTCGAGACACTAGCTTTGAATTATCATATTTCGCTGAAAAATAAAGATATCTGGATGATTTAAAATTTATTTTGAAGGGAGAAATATGGTTTGAGACGTATCTACTAGTTTTTTGGAAATAAATGATCCGATAACGCTACATAACCTCAAATATACATAAGAAGCTGTTTTAGATAGTTTAGGATAGAATATCCCATAAACTTGAGGTCAACGAGGTTTTTCATGGTCAAATTCGTTTTCAGCGACCTAAAATCTACGCGATATGACTATTCATTCTCAATCCACATCAGTCACGTGGGGTAGTCTTATCATAAAACTGAATAACCAATCCCTTTGGGATTTGGAATGGATAATCTGAAGGTTGATGAAAGAACGTGAAAGAAGCTCCTGAGCATATTCCAAACAAATAAAAGCAAAAAACATTATATACATTTTTAATTACTTTATTAAAATCAGTTTTATACAAAAGGTTATTAAATAAAAATATGTTAAGTTTATCAGCACGTATTAAAAAAACTCATTTTTTAGTAGAGTGAATAGTATTTTCAAGTTAATTAAATTTGAACAAGCTTAATTTTTTGTTTTTAATCAACTTTCAACTGCTACTTATTGAATTTATCAAGACATTATATGGTTGATTATTTTATGAACGGACATATTAGCACAGACATGTTTTCTAGTGTCGTTAACTAAAATAAAAAAATTAATTATATTTACTTTTAATTACTATAACATTGAAAAACTAGATCACATTATAAAAATAAAAATAAAAACTTTTTGGCAAGTTCGATATGACAACGATAACAGCGGATTGATCATGGCTATAAAAGTGTTACTGGACAATACAATTCTCACATAAGTATCTTCTAGTTTTTATAGAGTCCTTAATATAAAATTCTTTATCATTATCTAAAATGAAAAAGAAAGTACTCAAAACTAATTACTATAATCCAATTGCTTGAACTGTAATTATTTACTTACCGCACATGTCCGCATGTGTCAAGTCAATCTGTAATCTTTGTAAAATATGGCCATAACATACTTCATCAGGGATGAACTCGCTTGGATAGTATTTTCTTATAATAGGTATAATGATTGCAAATACCTTTTCATAATCACTGTGAATAACGTTTACATTGTTTTCTTCGGAACACTTTTCCATTTCTTCATATAATTTATTGAGTCTGGCTCGTTCCAGTTCGAAAGCCTCCTCATCTATTAGACAATTGTTCTCTTTAACAATGCTATTGTTAGTATCAGTACTTGCATTAGCATCGGGAAACCTCTTTATATTTGTTGCAGTAACTTCTATACTATTGTTGCTATTAACTGGAATACCAAGTGATCCTGTAGAATCATTATTTATACAACACTTCTTTGAAACTTTATCAACTGAAACAGATTTTCTTTTTTTTTCTGCATAGTAGTTCCATACATTTTCATCAATGTATTTGTTATCGTCAATAACGATCGAATATTGTAAGTTATCTAATTTGTCTTTGATTTGGCACGTAATATTTGTTGAAAAAATTTCAAGTTCATCTATTCTATCTTGCGAACTATTTTTTTTAATTGAATTCTCAATTTTACCATTAATACTCATTTCAGAACACTTTTTGTGAAGAATGGTTTCCTTCGTTGAAACATTTTCCGATAAGGTTTGTTCTTCATTATGTCGACTGCTTGATAAATAAAGTTTCAATATCGATTTCGTTTTAATATCCGATGGTTCAAGTTTGACTGGTTGAAGCTGTTGATTTTCATTAGCAACAGTTACATTCTTCTTTTCAGCATTCACATCTAATCTTACTTGTAAACAATTATTTAAGTGAGAATCATATTTTTGTTTGTTTTTATTATTGGCATCAGTATTAGTAGTGGACATTTCTGAAGTCATTTCGCTTTTTATGAGCTTTGGATTTTTACCGTAAATTTTAATACAGTTTTTATTCTGCTGCACAGACAAGCATTTAGTTGATGGCTCTGAATGGCGCTGAACTTTTTGTTTCTTATCGTTTTGCTCTTCCTTTGGTAGAATTCTATTGGTACGAACTAAATCTTTGACATTACTACTAGGTACTTCACTTGAAACATTCTTCGGTACAGTTGGGATTTTTTCAATATAATCATTGTTGTTACATGTAGAAACATTATTATTTGTTGTAATCAATCGAAGCTGACTATCAGTAGTTTCAATTTCTGTCAGCTGTTTTTCATTTGGTAAATTGATAATTGGATTTTGTGTGTTAGTATTCATTGTACAAATTTCACTCTTCTGTTCGAATTCAACTAAACTATGATTAGCATTTTCACAACTAAAATACTCTGTGTCGCTTACTGCAGCATTCTACGTATTTAATAAATTAGCAAACTTATTATTTACAATATTAACTGCCATAGGTTCAGTATTAGGTTGAATACTCACAGACTCGCATTCTTTGCAGGACGAAGCTTTAGTTGAAAAAACGCTTGGCTGCTCTGTAGTATTTTTAACTTCAGATCTTTGCATTTTATTTCGCAGTTTTAACAAGTCGATTTCATTGCACAATGATTTGTACAGAGTTCTTTTGCAAGTTTCTTTTTCAATATTCACTATCTATCAAACATAAATTTTTATATAAAACAATCATCTATTTCGTACCAGACACCAGAGAAGTGCGAATTCACGGTCTCTGATACAGAAAATAGTATATACGCCACGGGAAGTAAAATGGCACGCCCATAGCTCGTGTTTTTCAATTTATACGAGCTATAGGCTTACCAATACTTTATATCCCTAGACGAGTAATGTACTATTGTTTTACCAAAAAATGTGCCGTAATTAACGTTACTTACTGCACCACTTCCTGCTAATTTGTAAGAATCCAGATCTTTAGTTGTAAACAATAGATCATACTCCATTTTCTTTGCAACGTCACAAATATTTGACTTTGTTAGAAATATGCCGTCTTTTTTATTGAATGTAATTTCATAATTATTTAATAAAGCGCTATTTAATTTTGAGTAAAAACTTTCTCTGAGCTATAAAAAAAAAGAAAAAAGTAAATATTTAATTAGAAATTTGTCAATACACAACTTATTCGGAACAAATAATCGTTTCAAATGGAACAAGCGCGTGTAGTATATAACGTAAACAAAAAAATTCGTATTTTATACATAAACAAAATCGGAATAATTACTTAATCATATAATTATACAAATAAAAGTCGAAATGTAAAATGTGAATACTGACGATTAATATGGAAAATATCAAGCGATGCAGAACAATTCAATAACTATTATTGATCAAATTTAATCTCAGCCGATATAATGATTTAATGTTTTAATTTTCGATTTTAAAAATATGTCTACGCCTTGATACGTTTTCACTCAACAGTACACTTGTTTCATTTTGAGTGATTACCTTTAATTGAATAAATGTGTTTTCGTCATACCTTAAGATTTAATCCTTCTATATCGTTTAAAGCTACTTTCACAACGTTAGGAATATCTTGATCTTCAACATTATTTTTTATAGTCTAAAAGAATATTTCCGTAAAAAGAACCATTCAGAAATCACGTAAACCAATTTAATTTAGTCAGATATAGTTTTCTTAGTTATCCGAAATAAGTAAGTTAAGAGAATATATTATTTAAAATGTTATCTATACCTTTTCCGTAAGATGTGATTTTTTAGATGAATCATTTATATCCAATAACGTATCTGATTCCAAAAGATGTATTAACTCGTTATTACTAAAATACTTCGTCGTTACGTTTTTTAAATTTGTCTTGGACGTGTTATTATTTAACCGGTAATTATTTATGTATTCTCTTAACTCTTCCATATTCGGATATATTTTTCCAATTTTGTTAACAAATAAACCTAAAAAATAATAAAAATACAATTTTGATTACAATATTGAGTCCTACGTGTTTTATCATTGTCGAAAAATGTAACAATATGGAATTCAAATCAATATGCATTTCATTTGAAATGATAAATATATCTTATAGTCGGAATTCTACCACGTTTGCGAAACAAAAGGACGGTGTCTGCAGGAGTACGGAGTTAGATAACATTCGAATCTTCTCGCTATTGTACCAATATAAGATTTATATAAGGGACCATTGAATAGGTAGTATCAGAACTTAAGTCGCATCATTGTTAGCGATTATATTTGCTCGCGATCACTGTACGCCTGAGTTACGTATTGTATATATGCGTTCCTTGTAAGGATGCATCTTAAATGAAAATTCTAATTTCATTATTACTTCGAGCACAAACCTGTGTTATTAGGTATGTGATTTGCATAAACAAAATAAAATGCCGTTCATTAAAATGTTCGAAATAAGATTGATATTCTAATGGGGACATTCAAGAACATTCAAGCATAACAAACGCATCTTGACATTGGCTAGTAATAGTATTGAAATCTGATTACATTCATATACAATTATAATTCAACGGTCTGTTTAGATATGATGACATACATACGTATAGTACACAATGGTAGACCTAACCTTTCAAAAAAAAAATGGTAATTAATAAGAAAAGCATACATACCTTAATTAATAAAACTAAGTACTGATAGAATACAAAATACGTGCTATATATAACGATAAAAAAACACAACACCCAATAAACAAACGGTGCAATTACGTATTGAGTATGTAATCGTTATTTTTCAAAATACTACGTTTGAAATTTTGAATAGATTGTATAAAAAGATTGAAGAAAGTGCAGTAACGACTTCAAACAACGTTAGCTCCACCTTCTTTTAAGGAGCCGGTCTAATTGCACTTTACGAGAAACCAAGTACCTACCTATTTTTCCACAGCGAGAAGGAGAACAGATAAATCCTTTTTACGCGTACATGTGTAGCAGTGACGGAACGTGTGTGTGGTTTGCTCATTGCTTTACCATACACCCTTTGGAAACAGCTGACCCAATTTGCTAGAAATACGACTACTCTGCTACGGTTGATCGAGTGTCTGTTTATACGAATCAAAGTATATAACGAAATTTATTCAGGTTTTTGAAAATTAAGATTTTTAATATTTATTATTCGCGTAAAAATGTAGAAAATGTCTTAAAATATAAGCTAGAAAAAAATGTTAATTGGCAAAAATAAAAATTAAATGCCGGCACGTCGATAATGTAGGTTTCTATTATTAATCGTTTACTAATATTTGTAAATGGGTTTTTTTATTAAAAACGATATAATTCATGTGTTATTTGTTATATTGATCGAAGCAATATCAGTACAAAATTCAAAATTGATTTTTCATTCGGTTTTCTTTCATCAAATAATTATAAGTTTATTAAATAGCTTTTTCTACATATTAAACGAAAAAAGGTACTTACAGACATATTCTACATATTTATATTTTGAAAGGCTTAGAAACAATGCTAAGTTGCAAAGAACTTTCTCAAAACCTTTGCATGAATCTTGATTCAACTTAAAAGAATTAACAGTTAAAATATGTTTCTTGTATGATTTTGTCTGCGCATTTAAAAAGGTGAGCGATAACCGTTATTCTCTTTTATTTTTTGCGCAAATGATATATTCTACTAGCAATCACATTCATTTATTTCACTCGTTTAAACGTGTTTTTTGTTGACTATTAATTTTTGCTTTTCATAATATTTTTCTAAGAAAAAAAATTCATTTTTTCACTCGTACAGACATTCATTGAATTATGTACGCTTGTTCCATAATGCTAATCATAAATAGCATTTACAGGACAATGACATTTTAGTATTACTTTCTTTATACATATATATTTAGTTATCCATGCTTTAATAATAATTATACAACTGATTTTTGCAACTAGAACTAAAACCGTACGTAATGAGACACTGACTTATTAGTTATAATTTGATTTCACTTAAAATTTAATTTTATGTTGGTACTTGTTGAAATTATATTACGTTAGAATTCTAATTAAGTGTATCGCCTAATTTAATTCCTGCAGTTATTTTTATATAAATAAAAATGATACATCATCCGTTTATTTTGTAGTTACACAAATACGAGAATTTCATAACATTATGAAATTTACTTATATTGTTTGAAATAATAGAAAAAAGTTAACAGTATCCTTAATTAAAACAAATACCATTTTCACCCTAAATTTTACAGGTTAGCTGTTAAAGAAAATATTCTTTTTTCATATTGCACAATGCTAATATATCTAAATAACTCATAATCAATAGCTGCCAAAAAATAATGAAATAATTTTACGCATTTGAAATCTTGTTGAATATAATCTTGTGAAATTTGTTATTGTAAACTTTCAATTAAAAAATACTTTTGCAATTTCGACGCTCATATATTTGGATACATTACATACTACATATAAACTTATCTTTTTATCCACATTACATATTATTATAATCTATTTTTAAGATAAAATGTGAATTCGTGACAACATTTGGATTAAATGTAAATATTTATGAAACAACCCAAACATTATGACAATTCATGAAAAAATTACATCAGATAAAATTTTGTATCTATTTACAATAGAGAATTCAGTGAAAATCGCAATAATATCTTAAGTAACGAAAAGTTATGTTTACAATAGCAAGCTGATTTTTTTAAATTGAATAAAAAGATATTGTAGTGTGAACAAAAATATTAATACGGAAGCATACATAATAATTTCCAAAACAATTTGGAAGTGTCTCATTGAGTATGGATTTTTATGAAAATAGTATGTTGACCATAGAAGCTATTTGTACATTCACAACCGTTCAGAAAAACGTCATAATATATTTGCGTTGATCGAATTCAAAATTAAATTAAAATATAGATAAACTAAAGTAAAATAAAATGTTAAAATGTAATGCAATACATAGCTTTTCGACGCAAACAAAAAAAATTTGTGATGTTTAATCTTACCAACTTTTCCAATTTCTCAAATTAATAAAATTTGCATTAAAACAATAAGTTAAAAAACAATTAAGTAAACTACAACGCAATGCAGTAAAAGGACATAAAAATAAATGTAGTTCAATAAAAAATCTAAATTTCAATATTTTTCAAGATTTTGCCATTTTATTAATTTTATTGTATTCATTATCCTACGTATTAAGAAAAAGAATAGAGGAAATTTTAAATGAATGCCTTTTCATTCTCATTATCATCATATATTCCATTTCCATTCAGTCGTTATTTATGTAAATAAAAGGAATTACAGTATAACTTTTTTTTTCTATGAATGAGTTAATCGTAGCCACTTCCATACCAGATCTGTATGTCGCAAAGACACCACGAGGCTATGCCTACCTTTCAGTTCTGATTTAAAAACAGACTCCGTTCTCTCTTCCATTTTATATTTTAAGTCCGTATTAAATATATTTTACAATATTATCATTGTACACGAACAGCGTATCATCCATACTTTAATTCCTCGCCATCACCAGTTAATCAGCGCAACGTAAAATTTTACAAATAAAACGAACATTAAAAACTGTACGCCAAATATCATATAAAGTAGTTTTTACGACAGCACATTTTGCATTGAAATATTTACTTTCTGAACATCAACCTCGGGTGTATTTCGACTTGTTCGAATGGATACAAAAAACACAGATACTAAGATAAAAATTAAAAACCCATGACAATCAATTTTGTAGTTTTATAAGATTTTATTTTTTCTCAAGATATAAAATTGTAATTCATACGAATAATGTATAGTCCATTCTACCAATTATATAAGTCTTATCTATTTACTCGTAAATCTACAAAATTGATTTAATAAAACGAGTGAAATTTACAATGTTAATGTTGCTTCGCAGATACTTAACAGATTTCAAATGTGATGCATACAGTTAGAAAAATTGATAATTATCGAATAAAATTATTTCAGAACTTAACTGTTGTCCTCATCAAATCTCTAAAAATAATTGTATTTCATTTTCCAACAATCGGATGTTGGTCACAAGTTGAGGAACGGTGAAAGCATACTCGACTTCCTTTATTCCCAATGTAAGCGGAATTCCACTGTGTGATGCGCTTATTATTCAGACTATTAACAAGTCGGTGTCAATATTTTGAAATAGACGAGGGGACAGGATCTGCGACCCCGACGTGTGTATGCCCCTGGTGCCTGCTGCAATTTGAAAATTCGACTTTATATACTTCATGCCTCTTGTACAGGTTGATGTTTACTTGTTCATATAAGTCTAGTTATTAAATTATATTGATAAAAAACTTACGCGGGATAAGATGTGCTCGGATAAAGATGAAAATTATTCTTTCTTTTCATCAGCGGCCGGTGTGGCGTTGGCATTCTCGCTACCCGTGGCAGGCGGCGCTTCCGACGCGGGTGCATCCGTCGTCGATTTACTCGAGGTTTCCGTCGTGCTGTCTGAGTTGGATTTAGCTTCCTCTTTCTTCGGCGAATCTTCTACGGCATTTTTCTTGGGCTCTTCTTTGCTGTTTTCCAACTCTTCGTTTTTCTCTTCTTTGGAGTTAGCTTTTCCGTCTGTTTGATCCTCTTTTTTGGATTCGTCCTTGCTAAAATATCAACAGAAAATTATGTTACTTAATATATTCTTTTAAAGTAGATACAACGTTACATCTATTGTTAGCGTGCACAAACACGCTACATACACACACACACACATGCACACATGCATGCACGCGCACACACACACACACACACGTACGCACGCACGCACGCACACACACACACACGCGCGCGCACAAAAGCGAATGAGCAAGAAGGAACACAGGCAATAGTCTGACTGAATGAAGAGAAGAGGTAGACAATCGAAGTATTAATGATTTGGTGAGAGTACAGTAGAAAAGACGTGAAAATCGACGTACCCGTCTTTCTTATTCTCGGAAACGCCCTTATCATCGTCCTTTTCGTCGTCTTTTTCGTCGTCTTTTTCGTCAACGTCCATTTTAGCATCATCGTTCTTGTTGTTAGTGGCCGCGGCATTCTCCTCGTCATTTTCATTGGCCTTCTTGGGACGTCCTCGGCCTCGTCCACCACCGGTGCGTGGCTCACGTTTTTCCTTCTTAGGTGGCGATGGAGCCGGTGTGGTGACACCTCGCGCCGCGCTTCTTGTGCGCCTCCTGCCTTCCACTTCGCCAACACTCGAGTTCAAACCCTGTGGAGCCAAGTGGACCAATTAATGACGTTTTAATAGTTTAACGTTGAAAAATCTTGTTACACTTGAGATTTCAGTTTGTACATGTGACTTATATTGTAAAAGAAAATCATTTGATAAAAGAGAGCACTGGCACCGCTCATCGTAAATCATCACAGACAAATCGATATCTGTAGCTTTTGAAAGTTAATGCGATAAAGGCGGGAGGGGGGGGAGTGTCTGTTTTACCGAAGACTATTGATTTTTACCGGTTTAAGTGTAGCGCGCGCCGAGCCGAGTCTTTTGAATTCCGGATGACACATGATTGTAAAGATCGTGGCGCCCTCGTGGCAAGCGTTTCTCTCGCACCGGAAAACCACCCCCTCCCTGCTGTAGCGGCCAAGTCATCTGTTCGCGTGTGATGCGTGCGTCGTCTCCCTCTTCTCGCATAAATGCGAGAGGTGCTCCCCCCTGCCGGCAGCACGTTTATGTGTGTGTGTCGGCCACAGCCACCGTCGCTCTGCCGGCTGGAGTCGTCAGCGAAAGAGAAAGCAGTGAGGGAAAAAACTGCGCGGCTCAGTTTCGGCTACAACGCGTCTCTCTTGTGTCGATATACATCGCGTGCACGGCAAAAACTCGACACTTGGCCGGGGGTAGCCACTTTCATTCTCTCCCTCCTTGAACCGCCTAAAAATCAACTCTGTTGCTGTTACCGCTGTTGCACACGTCATCGGTTTGCGCAGTCGAACATGATGTGCTACCTGAACGTACCAATACTATCATCAACCGCGTGGTGCTTCGGAATTACCACGTCACAATTTTTGAAGTACTTTTCTTTTTCTACTCTTCCCTGTGGGGGGGGGGGGGGGGGGATTTATGAGCATTATTACCTTCAGGATAAGGTCAGCCTCCTGAGCTGTCTTTTCCAAAGTTGAGAGCCTCTTCGTGCCGGTCCTCTTGCCTTTGGATGCGGGCTTCTCCTCCGGCGTCGTTTCCTCCTGGAAATAGTCGATCAATTAATGCTGTTGCACGAATTAATCTCAAATCTGATCGTTTTTCGATTGACACAAATTGATCGCAACATTGTTTGAATGAAAAAAATTCATCGGTTGCTGTGATACTTATAGTCTTATCAAATAAAGATAATTGTTTTTTTTCTGTAAACGGAGTCGTTGTCGCGGCTCGTTTGAAGCATCCTCTATATCAACAGCACATTTGTAATATATATGCATGTAAACACGTCTACTTCATCGTGTTGATCGTTTATTTCGTTTTTATCACGTTGAAAAAGCTCCGTATTATCACTTCATGCTCAAAGATGAGTTTAGAATAAATACAGTTGATTAAAAACAAAAATTTCGGAGTATCTTTCCACAATGACGGAAACTTGCGTAAGGAAATCGCGACCTACATTTGCTCATAGTAGCAATCTAAAACCCTGCAAAAGATTGTCTCGTTGAAAGACGCAATGCCACCTGTAACGTGACGGAATGGAAAATAATAACAGCATGCGAAATGAACGTTGTGCAAAGGTAAGAAGACGTAGCGGCTAGTATATATAGGCACATGTATACTTTGGGGAGGGAAAAAGTGGCGGGAAACGCGTTGCACGCGCCAGCCCCTACGCCATTTCTCCCTCCCGACGTCTGCCTTCCCCTCTCTCGACGTCATAACGGCACTCCCGCGCACAGATGGAGGTTTCGTCTTACAAGAAGGCAAATTGCACACCATTTAAGACTCAGAGATATAATCCCTTAGAACGGGAGTCAACTGGGGTAACACAATATTCTTGACTTGTCTTTTTTCATCAAATCTTAACAATTCAAGACAGTTTTCAGTTACCTCATTTGAAGTGTGATCGCGAAGGTTGCGGAAAAACCTTCAACATAAACTGCGATTTCATGCGAGACATCAAAACAACCACGAAGTTAATATTTCCTAATTTGGAATATAGTTCTTAGAATTAGAAGGAGTAGCAAAGGTGGTACGGCAATAATATTATTGGTGACATATTCGTAGCTTTAATCTTAATTGGTCAAGGTTTGTGGGTTTTGTTTTGCTTGAAAATGAAATAAAAAGATGACAATTCGTTTTTAGAGTGTGTGGCAAGTTTTATTGTAATATTTATTATTTCGAAATTCAAAATTTACATCATTCGTGATCGTCACAGATTTTCTCCAATATATCGCTATTTTAAAATAAACAAGATTTATCAAATAATCTTTACCTAAGATGGAAAAGCCTATGCTTTTGCGGCAAACCTATGAAACATAATTTGAATGTAAATACAAAACGGAATAAAGAAAGATCAAAGACGAGTCGAAATTTGATATGAATCTATTGGAAAACGAATATGATATCAGTGACGCAAGACGATTAACTTCTTAACCGAAAAGAATTCTACGCATTAGTGCCCAAAACTCACATTTTTACGAATAAACGAGTAAAGCAAAAAATCCATCGTTATGGTTCAAATTATTGAGGAGTGCTAGAAACTTTTTAGATTAGACCCCTACAAACTCAGGAATAGAATAAGAATCATTGCTGGATTATAGAATTCAAAAATGACAAAGATATCATGCGAAAAGTACAATCTTTTTCTGTAATTTGATCGTATGCATTCATAAGATAAGATTCAATTAACATTTTTACACGTCACCCGACAATAACCTCGAATGCTCCAAAACAAAATAAAGTACAGTAGTCAAAATGATTAATTTCAATTGAAATTTAAACAAATTGTAAGCCTTTAATAAGTTAATACGTGAAAAATTATTGAGTATCGTAGGAAAACACTACAAACGTAAGCAAACGCAGAGCGCTTTTCTGATAGACGTACACGAACGAAAAGTTGGAGTTACGCAGCTCTCGCGTTATACCTATAGGCAAAACGCACTGGGAGAGCTCACCGAAATGTGCAACGATGAGAGCGAGTGAGACTCAACGATAGAAAGAGAAAGAGAAAGAGAGAGAGAGAGAGATAGAGAAGGGGCCGGAGCCGGAGGGAAGCTTGGCTTGGGCTTGCGCGTATATACTCGCCTTCTACGGCGCAACACATAGCGTCTCACCCGATAAAACCTTAACGTACGTATGTAACTGATGATCGACGAATCTGCTCTGGCGCACAAAAGAGAGACAGCGAGAAGGAGCGATAAGATTATCATTCGTGAACTCGAAAGCGAGAGCGCGGAAAAATTGATTTGGCTTTCCCGCCATTTTTTGGAGCGTGCTTATGCAACTAGGCTTGGAAGCGTACTATAGTATGCTACACGAAAAAGTTGAGAGAACAGACAGCAAAGAATACACGAGCTCGGCTCGACACATAAATTTCCCGCGTAACACTCGATGACTCGGTGTCGCGCGCGGCGAAAGAGAAAAAAACAACATCCGCCATCTTTGCCGAGAGCGCAAGGACAAGCGCCGCTGCCGCCGCCACCGCCGCGGCCGTCTCCTAACCCCCAAACGACGAACGCGAACGTAGGAATCGAGACAATTGGCCGATAATTGGGTTAAATGTGTACGCAAGAGAACGCCAGTCCAAGCACGAGATCGCAACGTATTGAAGTCGACTTGGAGATAATGCATTTGGACCGGCAGCGAATGCATAATAGCGCGCGGACGAGCCAGAGTTGCGATGTACCAAGTTGAGCGCGGCGCGCGCAGGACAAGCATGCATATCGGCAAGTTTGCCGGCGCGGCAGCTACGGATGGCTCACCTTGACCGCCTCGTCGACGCTGTTCTCGGTCTTGTTTTCCACCTTGGTGTCCGACATACTGCCTGCTTATCTTCTTGAGCACTTGTGTGTATTAATATGCAAGGACAGACACGGAGTCGGCTCTGTGCTTGGACCTTGTGCACGACTATCACCACACGGTTTTTCGGCGGGCTGCTGGCTGTAGTGCTGCTGCCTGCTACAACACACGCACATACACACGGCTAACTCTCACACAAGGCAAATTGCTCACTGTTTCGCAGATAGAGTGCGCTCGTGCTAGTGCTCTGCTGCTTCAATAGACCTCTGCACGAAGTGGCCAACCGCCGACTGCTAGTCGCGGCAATCGCGGCCGGTTTGTTTGATTGTTATGCTACTTGGATACGACCAACAGCTGGACACGGATATCTCGCTATCCTGCTATTTCTGGAAACAGCGAGAAAAACAAAGAGAGACAATATTGTCGCACCTACAGTTATACACTTTGTTCGATACGGTCAGAGCAAGCGGTTCACTCGCACACTACTTACACACTGTTTATACACTTCGGCAAATGCCAGACGAAGATGGCGGTAGCGTGGGTCACGTGACTGAGCGAAGCAGAGGCGGGCACACACGACCGAACCAAATAATTAAAACTGCAGAGAATCAAAGTATAATGCCTATATTTCTTTTCTCCCTTTACTATTCTGACGTTCGGAAAAAAAAATCGAAAATATGCAGCTCTTTATGTGAGAAATTGCCTCGTCGATAATTTAGACTAAATAGTTGTAATAATATTTGTTTTTCACTTATTTGATATAATTAAACGTTTCGAGGTGCTGGTTTGTAGAATAGATTTTTTTTTAATTGACTAAGATCAGTGAGGTAGATTTCAGTTTGATTTAAATGTTTGAAAGCTCCTTTGTGTTTTTCTTGTTCCAAACTAAAACATCAAATATTCTTTGATTTACTATATTTTTACAAATTTTATTTTATCTTCAACATAGTATACACATACAGTGTTGGAGATTTTCAGTTTCATTCATTTTTTAATCAATATTGAAAATATAGGTCTTACAATTCAATATCTAATCTTCAATGTTGCAAGTATAATGTACTCCTTGTTTCATATAAAATTTTAATTATAAACATCTTTGTAGACATAACTCGAAGTGTTTATTCATATACATCACACGTAGTATAAATATTCATGTGTAGTAAAAATCTTTTATGCAAAAGTTAAGTAGATAATTAAATATTTAAAAAATTTAATAAAATTATGGTTGATAATTGGTAAAAGAAATATATACACTAATATTTAATGACTGACTTGATAGTTCAATTAGTCCATTTGACTTGATTCTCAATTGAAAATTAAATGTAGTCCATAGTATTCAATTGATTGTAGAAAATTTTTAATACCATATCATGAGATGCTTAATAATTTAATTAAAAGATAGTTATTACAACTAAGACCAATAAATTAATGAAAAATTGTCTTAAAATTATTCTTTTTAAATATTCTATTCAATCCGTACTGTATTATATGTTCAATGTGTTGGCATACGCCTACACCAAAATCTTGCTCTAAAGTCATCACTGCAGGTCAAAAATGCTGGTGCAACTGGCGAGTGTACAATCATACGTACTGGACCATTGTGTCCAAGTGATAGTAACTGTTTCCTTGAAGCATTTCGAGAGTTCCAGGCACATAAAGATGTAGTAGCTTCATCAGGAAACATTACATAATCTTCTGTATGATTGAATATAGCTTGGGCTTTATGCTCTTGTTTACCTAAAAATTATAATGTGTCAAATGGTAACTTAATATATCAACTATACATTCCTATCTGCATTCTAATAAATCAAAAGTCAATTATACCTGTAGTTCCTGCACCAGTATAGGCAATCAAACACCTGCTTGTTGATAATTCCCAGAGTTTAATTAAAGAATCTTTGCCAGAAGACAATAAATACTAAAATAAAATATACAATTAGAAAAAATCTTTGTTTTAATTTTATTACTATAAATGAAAATACATACCTTTCCATTTCTTGTAAAAGCTACTGAGCATACTTGATATCCATCATGTGCTTTCACAAATGTGTTTATGCACCTATTGGAAACTCCATCCCATAGTTTGATACTACCATCTTTACTTGCCGATGCATAAGTTTTTGCATCAGGAGAATATTTTATGCTTGTGATACCACCTGTATGCTGGTGATTAGGAATACTGCATACATAACATTGTGCAGTGTTAACATCATACAAACGTATCACTGGATGATTTGTCCCAACAACAAGGTAATCACCAGTTGGATGAAAAGACAAGCATCTGATTTGGTCTGAATCTGTGATTGTACGAAAAGCTTTTTTAACACTAGCTTTACTGTAATCAAAGAGTTTCACTGAAAAATCTCTACTCCCAGAAACTAAAATAGGTTCTCTGGGATGAAATTCCAAACATGTGACTTCTTCCAAGTGGTCATATAATGTTCTAATTACAGGATGACCTCCAGTTTGATCCCCTGGCGTTACCTCTTCAGGAGCTGATTTAGCCAACATTCTATCAACATCCAAAATTTTAATAGAAGCATCAACTGAACCAGTGGCTATAAGCTGTCCATCAGCAGAAAATGCACCTGCTCTACAATTTCCTTTATGTGAAGTGACATATGCCGTTTCATATTGTGCTGGTTCTGGTGCTTGAGTAGTGGCTTCACATTCAAATTCTAAATCTAATCCAGGTCCTAATGTATTCTCAACTGGTGTAAATGATGACACATGATTGCTATCTTTCTTTGATCTATCTGGTTCATTTGCCATTCCAATTAACATAAGATGTAACAAGCGATCTGACGGTGGACATGGAGGCTCTGCTTGAGTCAAGTTTGACAATTGTACAGCTACTGTTTGGTGACCATCGTAAAACAATTGACTAAAAATTAAAAGAATAGATTTATCTTTTGTAAATGAAATTTCAAAGCTTGAAGAGCGAATAAAAACAGAATTCATCCATCAAACAAACTAAATTTATATTCTCAAATTTTAATGTAAGTAATAAAAGCGTCTAACATCGCCGTAAAATTAATTAAACTTTTGAAATAATGTTTATAATATGATAAACTTAGAAATGATGAACAAAAAACTATTCATACCTTATCATTAATCTATAGAGCATTTCTCTATTTTTTATAATATTTTTTGTGTCCACTTCTGTATCCTTCATGACTGCGTTGCCGTCGGTTTTTCCAGTTGAAGACTGAATGTTGGCTGTCTTATGTATTACTTTCTATAAATATAGTAAGAAATTATTATTTAGAAATCGTATTTCTGCTGTAACTTCGTATTGTTTATTCAAAGGTTATTGTTTCCACGTGCTTGATCTACTTGACATACTGAGAAAACTGGACATTTTCCTCTCGAACTTGGCAAGAAATTGGTCGGTCCCTAACCTTAAATGGCAAGTCACTTCATGTCTCGCGTATATCTGGTATTATAGCCGTGTTCAGAACGATTCTGAGACTTAAAAAATGACATGAATTTTGACATACATCACAGGATGTCATGAGCCACTGCGCAGCAAGCCATGCGCAGGTGATTTCTAGGGTTTTTGAAGGGGCGCGTATTTTGAATACAAAGTGATAAAAATGAAAACAACAAAAACATTACAATACATATTCCCCAAAAACAAACGATAAATTTTTATAAATTGACTTCTTTGGCTAGCACATCTTATTAATAATAAGAAATTTATATTTTTCACATAAAAATTTTTTATTTTAGGAAAGAAATAGCAAGAACTCTTTTTCTACTTATTTTGATTTTCTATTACTAAATGAATGCTTTAACTATGACGGCAAGTAAGTAGTATTTTTTTAAGTGATACTTTCCACCATAGTTAAAGCATTCATTTAGTAATAGAAAATCAAAATAAGTAGAAAAAGAGTTCTTGCTATTTCTTTCCTAAAATAAAAAATTTTTACGTGAAAAATATAAATTTCTTGTTATTAATAAAATGTACTAGCCAAAGAAGTCAATTTATAAAAATTTATCGTTTGTTTTTGGGGAATATGTATTGTAATGTTTTTGTTGTTTTCATTTTTATCACTTTGTATTCAAAATACGCACCCCTTCAAAAACCCTAGAAATCACCTGCGCATGGCTTGCTGCGCAGTGGCTCATGACATATCCTTCTTCAACGTGTCATGGTGTCAGAATTCATGTCATTTTTTAAGTGTCAGAATCGTTCTGTGAACACCCCAGTACACATACACATTTGAGAATGGAAATCGAGAGAGAAGACGACAGGTTAGAAAAAGTTGATACAAAAACACCTAAAACAAAAAAATCTAAAAGCAAAAGAAAATTAAGTAACAGTCATATCGTGAAGAAAAGAACACCCTTTCAATATCCAAAACAGAAGAATGAAGTTTACGCCAATAATAAGACAAATTTCAAGGTATGAAGAAACTATAAGTAAGATTGTACATGTTTGCAAGTGATTAAACAAAATGAAACATATTGTTTATAACTGTAACAGTTTAATTTTTTTAGTTAGCTTTATACCATTTTTGAAAAACAAAAGCTCGTTGTTTCTTATATAAATTGCTTTTTTTGCATTGTCTTTATCCATATTTTGTGTTTTTTTCTAGGCCCAGTTGAAACAATGTGAAAGAATCCTAGATTCTGGTGCCCAAGAAGTTATTATACACGGTCTGGGAGCTGCCATAAATCGTGCGTGTAGCTTAGCCTTGCATCTTAAAGAAATCCATCACGAAACTTTGGATCTAGATACCAAGATTAGCTCAGTAACATTAACTGGTAATTTATTTTTTGATTGATCAAATAATTAATAGATATCCATTTCTTATTATTTGAATTTGAATTTATTGAAATTATAGATGACCTAGAACCAAAAACTGATGATGCTAGTTATGAAATAAAGGAAAGAAAAAGCTCAGCAATACGTATTCGAGTATTTTTAACTGCATTCATAGGATCTCTCAGATTTGATAATACTCAAATAAATAATTAAGGCTTTTATGAAAATTACCAATATTAATATGATTTGTTGTAGTCTTAAATGAAATAAGTAAAGTTCATATTTTCATCATGATTTTTTCATTAGATGAACTAGTCCATTGGCTGGGATTGACTATCTTTGAAATATGGACAAACTTATTGTCATTAACAATCTTCACAATTTTACTTGCCTTCAAGTTAGATGATGAATATTTTTTGGGAAGTGGTGGCTGGTGGATAGTATTTTCTCCCTTATTTGTAGCAGATGGTATAAATACATATTTTTGTGCCATCATATTTATAAGGATGCGTATGGAAGGTATGGTCAAAGTGGGAATAATGAGAGCACTGTGGAGTTTGATATCACTGCTGTTGGTGTTTGTTTTCAAATACCTTCTATGCAAAAAATTATCTGGACAAAGTACACTTGAGTACTCTGAAGTTTTAAGTCCAGTGTTTATTCTTCTACAACTAATTGCTATAAGAGCCTGCCAGCTTCATTGACCCTACGATCATCGACAAAGTTTTGAGGATGCTTGTCAACGTATGACTACAATGTAATAAAAAGTGAGCAAGTGATGTGAAAGATACTAAATGACAATTCACATTGAATAATTGTGTTCAACTGAAGTAAAATATCAATGAGGTCCAGATTTTTACGTCATTGATTTTTACATGTAACTACTAACTAGTTGTGTTTTTGAATTACTTTTTAATTTTTTATATGAATTCTTATTGACATTAAAGTGATATGTAAAATAAAGTGCATATGAAATATACATTTTATTTTGTGGGTGTAATAATTTTATTTTTTCATCATGCGTGAAGATTATTTGAAAAGAAATGAGTTATGTAAATACAAATTTCTCATATTTCAATTTTGATTCCAAACCTACTTACATATGTTTAAGAGCATATTATAAAATTATAAGCTTATGTTTATAGTTGTAATTTCCTTCATCTAAATACTTAGGAATATTTTATACGTACTCAAATAAAACTAAAATAATTGTTAAAAAAGTTGCTGCAGAAATAATTATACACTGTTCTGTAACATTTATAATAAAATTTTCTTAATCAACAAACTAATTTTATTTTCCAAATTTAACATTTTAAGAATTGAAGATAATGTATGTGACATTACGAAAAAATTGTATATCGATTTTGGTTATTTTTTCTTTTTTGTGGAACCCACACGTAGAAGCTGCTTTAAAAATATTGAAATGTATATAACAGCTTTAATGACATAATTGATGATTTTCATTTTTAAATTATATCGAAAAAGCATAACATTACGATAAAAATAAATGACGTTTCTCTAAACAATCAGTAAAAGATTACCTAAAAAATTTCGGTTTCTTCTTTTCTAAATCAGTGTAAAATATTTTTAATGTTTTCTTCTATTAAAGTTATTTTTATCGTATTATCAACAATTGTTTCGTATTTTAAAACTGTTCAAAACTTTGAATCTAAATTACCTAAACAGAAAACTGTAATGAATACAAGTGATATAAAATTTTACATTTATTGTTTATTGTTGAAACCCAAGTAATTTTTACATGAGTACAAGCTTGTGGCTTACTTTTTTATATGTGATATAAAAACTTAAAATATCTTGAAATTTATAAGAGGTACAATACTCGTCAATAGTACATTACGATACAAGTGCGGTAAAGTAGATTTTTGTCTCGTGTGGTATTTGTGTCCGAGCGAAGCGAGGGTGGAAAGACACACGAAACGATAAACTCTTTCTCAAACATGTGTCGTGCTGTATTTTTTGATACGACGTGTGGTCTTTCTCGCATGCTCTGCGAAAAATGTGCGTTGAAAATCGTACTTTCCACATGTCGTTTTAAAAAATGCGGTACGACATATTTTCGGAAAAGTAAATTCTGATATCCTAATGTACTATTTAAACAATTTTTATATCTTATCTGACTAAAAGAAATGAATGTTGACATATCTGTCGTTGACTTAAAAAGTAAAGGAAAAAAAAAGAATGATTATTTTTTGCTTTCAAATTTATTTGTTTCAATTTCATTCCTATCAGGTAAAAATGTCAAAAAATGTAGCCTGGATACTATATACCTTGAATTAGAAGAAGAAATAAGAAGAAATAGATTCGGAAATCCTGTTGAAGATAAATACAGATATTCGTCATATAGGTAAAATTTTGCACAGATATAAGTTTCAGTTCTTATTCAACAATAATGTATAAATTTATTTTTTATTGAAATAAGAGTAGTACGTTATAATTAATCTACTTAAAAAAAATGTTTTCTTCACTTATGAGTTCTTACGAGACGAGTTGTACTTTATGAAGTATTCTTTTAATTCTTTTGCACGGAGCTTGAATGAAGTAAGATTTATTTGCTGAGCTACCCTCTCTCACTCTCTCTCAAATGTTAAGAATGAGAGTACATGAAAGATCGTAAGTTATCATTAAAAAAAATGGTTAACAAAAAATTTTAACAAGTAAAAAATTTTCTTCACCAGGATGGCTATTAATTGAGATATAAATTGACCTTTTAAACAAATTTTGTTCATATGTTAGCACAAAGCACTACTCTACTTTATTTTCAACGCATGTCTGACTATTGCAATGGTTTGCTCACTAATAATATTCTATCTTGGGAAATAACGTCTCGATTAATCGTCCTTAGTTTCTAGAAACTCAACAATAACAAATATTAGTTGTTCTTTATTTCCGCAAATATTTTTAACTTCATCGCATTTGTTAATTCTTTTAGAACGTCATTTTTTAAACAACCGCAAAGTATGTACATCTCTGTATGTATATCTATTCGCTTATGAAAAAAAATATCAATCTCGAGCAGCTCTTGTGACTAAGATAGTTGGCAAGCTGAAAAAGAAAATCGAATAAAGCAAGTCTAGTGCAAGAGATAATTGAAAGCATTCGAGCAAATTGTCAAGCTCTCCTCTGGCTCTCGTGACGCGAGTAGCTGTAGCAGGCTTTAGGTGTATATAACGATATCAGGTCTCTCGGGTCGCGAGAGCGCATTCAGAGAAGTATGCGCAAAGAGGCGGCAGGTGTTGCAATTAGCGTTAATGACCGCACGGTAGCGATGGAATTAGCGAACAAACAAATTGTTGTGAGAGCAGCAACGGGGTAGCCATCCGGTCAGTAGTAGAGCGAGAGAGAGGTCGCCCCTCGAGCCCGCAGTACATTCAGCGGTGTAGGCTTGCGCGACGCCAAAATCAATATTCCCACCCCCGAGTGCGACGGTGGTGGCAAAGGGGGGAAAGAGAGAGAGAGAGAGAGAGAGAGAGAGAGAGAGAGAGAGAGAGAGAGAGAGAGAGAGAGAGAGAGAGGATCGGCTTCGGTGGCACAGCTCTCTGGCTTTGAGCGCCAGTGGCACGCCAAGTGGTGCTGGGGCTGCGCGCGAGATTTTTCCTTCGCCTGCTTGCGTGTTCGTGCCTGTTGCTCCGTCGCCTAGCGTTCGTCTGTCCTCAGTGGTCGAACGAATCGAATCCTCCTTGCGGGCGCGAACAGCAGTCCAGCAGACCGGCCAGTAATGTGCGCTCCGCACAAGTGCACGGAGCATGGATGGCCTGCCGTCTCACACGCGTGGTTCGTGCTGCTGCTTGCATGCAACAATTGTCTTTTCACCCACTCGCGAGCATTGCTCTGACACCTTCTGTGCCTGTGTATCTGAGTATCCGTATGTGTGTTACTCGCTCATGGCTATTTTTAAAGCTGTCGATTTTTTTTCCGCCCGCGCGGCCCTCGACAACTACTACTCTTCTTGAGACTCGCGGAGAGAGAGCGAGTGAAAGCCTTTTGTTTGGACATGACCAAGAAAACCCATTTTCTCAGGGTCGAAATCTATATCTTTTCAATTCGACCCCCGAGTCAAAGTGAATGCTAAATATGCCAGACTTCACTCTTTCTTGGATCTCATATATTTTTTTCATATTAAGCTAGATAATCTTTGTTTTTTTTTTTTTTTTTCTTTTTTTCAACAATTCTGGTTCGTATATTTTATTCGTGCGCCTATGGAATTCGCGAATTCGCTATTGCACTAAGGCTCGATTGGTTTTTGGCATGCCCTTTTTGAAATGACAATCGCTGTTTTCATTAATTCCCACCTGTAGTACTACTCCTGCTTTATTAATACCGTAGAGGATGAAAGAGAAACACAGACGACTGATGTGTCAACTAGATAAGCGTTGTAATTTAATCTACTGAATGAACAAAGTAAGATATGAATGAGGGATATTAAAGATGATTATTTTCTTGTCCCGTGCACGTTCCAAGGTATAAATGATTCAATACCGATTCCCGGTCAAAACTGCTCGACTCTGCTGACGTTGATCACAACGCCGTCGTGGGAGTCGGTCAACCACGATTTGAGATGGCATTTTTTATTACACACCTATACCTTCGCCTGCCTGTTCTTCGTGCTCAGTTTCTACACCTTCTTTTCGTTCCTGAACTTGAGGTAAGACATTAGGAAAGATACCGGGGAAAAAATAATGTATATATCACTGAGACATGTAAAAATTTCAGATCTTTAATGTCAAGGCCTCCCTTCATGTCTACAATAAATATTTTCCTGTGCCTACTGGGCGCTTTGAGGTGCGCTTGCCTCCTGATAGACCCGTATAATCTGAAAGAGGTAGGTGGTTTACCAGAACAAAACGATGAATGAGGAGTCATTGGGCATTTGTGTGTGTGTATCGTAGACAATGCCGCTAGTCATCGGCTCGATCATTTGGGATATTGGATTTCCCTTCATTACCTCGGCGTTTTGTCTCATACAATTAGCTTTCCTTCAACTAACTCAGGTGAGTATCGAAGCGTCGAATCCGGGGCTTTGGGCGGTGCGAGAGCGAACCGTACGCGTGCGTTGACGAAACAGCAACATTTGTTTGGCTTGACAAATGACACGTTTCGCTCTCGCTCGTGCGCGCATCGCTTACAGCCCCAATAATCAATGTGGCAGAGAGCAGCAGCGTAGAGGAGTGCGTGTGTCTGTGTTCGCAGGTAAAGTTCGGCCTGGAGCGCTTTCAAAAGGAGACCTACCTCAGTCTAATGATTATCTTCCATATCTCGTGCGTAATAATAAGCGACGTCACCCTGGCCTTCCACGTAAGCTACATGTCTAAGTACGTAGTTCAGATGGTCTTCCTAATCTGGGCGCTGATGCTGTACGTGAGCTTCCTTTACGCGGGCTACAAGGTCAAGGCGCTGCTTGATACCCTGCCGAGCAACTTGTTGGCTCGCGAGGGCTCCGGCGCCAATCAGAAAGGTCGGTGGGTTCTCGTGCGCATCGAGAGAACAGGTGCGGTCTGCAAAGCATCTTCGGACCCTTACTCACGCTCGTTCGCTTGTTTTCTTACCGCGCGTCCGCTGCCTCGCACATAGGCATAATGCAGCTTGCCATGCTAGCACCTTACAATAATCTGGCCACCTCGGTAGCGGCCGCGCTCGTGCCCACCCTGCTTGGACCCACCAAGTTCAAACCATCCGTCGATGATGCCACAGCTAAGCCCACAGCCAAAGGCCCTGAAAATAATAACCCCAGCTTCAATTCCAGTAAGTTTATATCCACGCCTCTTTCTTTCCCTCTTCGTTTTCTTGCTCTCCATGTACTCTGTCAATGGTTATTTGTCTGGTCTTGTTGTCTGTCTGTCTGTGTGCGTGCATTATCGTTCTCTTAACACGTCGACAACCATCTGCTTAATTACCTTAGAATGAGTGCTTTACACGTATAACGATGTCAATACTAGATATGCGACTAAAATACCATTCCGCAGTGAAAATTTCACTTAATTTCCTTCCAAGCGACTTATTTGTAAGACATTGTAGAACCAAAAACATTGAATGTTTGACGCTTAGTTTATTTCAGCACTCATATTATACGCATACGTATAGAAAGTAGGGCAGAGATGAACACTCTTGTCGATTACTACTTCTCATTAGACGAACGTTAAGTTGTTAAAATTGTCGTACATAACTATCAGTGAACGCCCAACTATGGATTTATTGTTTTCAAAAGAGTGAACTATTTGAATACATAGAATTATATGTAATTTTCACCAGATAAGCTTCATTGATTGCAATAACACGCCATATTGGACATGTACAGTTAATGCTTATTTAACGGATGTTTGTGTGCTTCATTATACTTATCGACGTAACAGACGAGAAAGCCTGGTACATTATTCAATATCAATTTTCGGAGATGAGCCTCTTGAAATTCTATAAATTTGGTATGTGAAGATGACTGCTATCTTTTCGACATACGCGTCGGCATTCGTGTAATCAAAAACTCATCAACCAGAACAAAAAGTTTTCTACCTTAACGCGGCAAATCTTCCTGCACAGAATAGCTTTTATCGATTTGTTACATAATTTTGTGTCATCGTAGCAAATAGTAGTACCACGTTGTCTGACTAAACATTTGACGCACTACTTACTTTGATGTTCACTGCTGCGCGTAATATGTACTTATCAAGTGCATGCTGAACTTTTTAACGTATATAATGAAAGTCATGTCAATTATCAGTAACTGCAAGATTGTTGAAGGCCCTATAATTAAAATACAAAAAGTGTATAAATTGATCAAAGTATAAAATGGTTACCCATTGGCTGCTTCCTCGTAACCTTAATTGTATCCAGAAGTTGCGAATGAAGAGCTCAAACATTACTAATATCTTGCATTAAAATTGACAAGTCTCGTACATCATAGACCAGCAGCAGCAGTCGCAGCAGCAGCGTCAGGGTAACGGTAAATCGTTGACGAGTCGATTGAAATCGCCGCCAACGACAGCAATTCTACTTGGTAACGACGAGGAGGTCGAAGATATGCAACAGCAGCCAGCGATCTCTACAGTACCTGAAGTATACGTAAGGCCACCAACGCCGACACCCTCCATTGCAAACTTACCCATCATCACCGTGTCCAGTCCAAGTAGACGTAGCTCACTTGCCAGCCGACGTGGTAGCGACGTCTCGCAGACTCGCAATTCCCGACGCGCGTCCGAATGCAGTGTACGCTTTGTCAACGAGGACGAGGCGATCTCGGCAAACGATCAAGCATCTCCAGGTCCGTATCTGTCTCTCTCTCTCTCTCTCTCTCTCTCTCTCTTCAGCGCTTTTTCGTTTCTGGGTCACCTAATTAGTTTTCAGCCCTGAGTGCACGTTCCCCGGCTGGACGACACTGCTACGCTATACTTGCTCGCGGCCAGCTGCCCCTCCATATACGCGAGGACGAACAAATGTTTTCCACTCTGGAATACTTTTAAACGAATTATAGCCGCTGCCTGGCACGGCCGCGAGTTAGACTTGTGTGTACGTGTAGGCGAAGGACAATTTCCTTTTCCACCTTCATGTATTCCCTGCCGCCTCTCATTTCGTTAAGCTTGGATCAGGCAGTTCGCGATTATATGGCTTTTAAACTTATCTCGACAAATCAAATAATAGCTATCCGCGTTCTTATTGGCACATCCAGCGAATCTCGAGATATATAATCCAGAGAGGAATAGAGATGCCAGGATTGATAGTCGGCCGAGCAAAGCTTCTCAGACAGATTTCAATCGATATTTAGGGCTGAACGTTCCTTATTTCCCCGTCTTACCATATACGATACGCTCGACTGCTAGCTGTTACTGACGTCACTTCTAACTCTCGCATTAAACCTTTCATTTCGCGTGAGGCGTTATTTGTACATCGCTACGCGCTATTTGCCGGGCAATTTCATTTTATATACCGCGCTGTGTTATAGAGAGCCTCGGTGGTTTATGACTCGAGTCAGCTGCAAGCTAAGAAATTTCAATGGTAAAATTCTCAGACACTAGACTTCCTATTATATCTGCGGACACGTAAATGGAATTAGCGTGGTTACTTGCTTCGACTTGTTTTTATGACTGCCGCACCATAGAGAATTTATAGCTGCAAAGTGCTTACTTTCAACGAACGACATGGGTAGGCAATAACGTATAATGGTGCTTTCTTATCGCGTTGTCGGTGGATCCGCTTTGCGCGAAAAATAAAACCAATGTCAATATTGTGACTGCGCTGCACGCGTAACGAGCGAATCGGGCATTTGTTCGTTTGATTTGATTAGGCGGATCAGCTAAGAAGTAAGCTGGCGACAAATAGAAAAGAAAACAGCAGACCGATGAGTACGCAGCAAGCGAGCGCCAGCACACTTCAATCTGTAAAAAGATCAGGCGAAGCTTGCTCGCTCGCGCGAGTGGCTCGACGGGAAATCAATATAAGAACAAACCGTCGCAAATACGCATTTGTTTACGCAACGCCCAGTAGGTGCACACGCGTACACAAGCGGGAGGGCGACTGGGGCGGGGAGGGGGGCTATAGTGTACACGCGATTAATTTGGCATTGAGGGACGCTTGTTGGGTTGCGTAATACGAGCGCTTGTTTTGCACGTAGGCGCAGGTAAGCGAAGCCCAGCCGAGCCGAACTCGCCGTCGCTCGATGACAGGCAACCCGAGGGTATACTCCGGCGCAACTCCGACTGCATTACATCCCAAGGCAGTAGCCGCGACCTACGGCGTGGATCGGATGTTAGTGGCGGCGAGACCAAGATACGATCGCAATTCGCCAATAAGCTCAGGCGAAATAGCGACTTTGGCAACAGGACACCCAGGAGGGCCCAGCCCGAGGAGTCGAAACTCGCTAAGATTCTTGATATCAGCCCCTCCGGTGAGTTTTCAACGCAAGATTGCATGGAACTGGTTGCCGTCGACGTGACAACGAAATGGAAACGACGCAAACCGAGCGACAGAATGCTACACGAGGTCGGTGATGCAAAGTGTAAAAGTAACGCGTATACGGGACGTGCATCTGATAAATACTTATTTATTTCCTAAATCGCTCGATCTCGGATCGTCGACCGTTCGCGGTTCTACGTGCTGCGATTATTGTGTGCCTCGAGCGACGCAAAATTATGCGTTACTGTCGGCACGATGTCGATAAAGCACGACATGAAAAAATGTCCTCGAAAAGGAGCTGGTGGAAAAGGCGAGTGCCTTATCGCGAGGTATAGTCACGGGGAGGGAGAATGAAATTCTTTAAATATCCGGCGGAAGAAAGGGACGGCGATTTGATTGCAAGCTGGACATCTGGCGCGCGATTGTGACGCAAATAACCAATTTAAATGCGTGCGTCATTCTTATTTCGCTTATTAGCAAATGGATTGCGCCGGTTATTAATATGATTCTGCCATGCTTTATCGACGATTCTGCCGACTGCGCGGAAAATAAATGAAGGGTAACGAAGGAAAGGAAGAGCGAGGAAACGGCTCTGGGGCAAAATCAACGAGCACATAGAGGAAAGAGTGCGCGCGAACAAGTGGCTTAATGTTGATTGATTAAGATGCTTCTAAAGAGATCGATCGTGTCTCTGACGCTTCGTCTAATACGTGTGTTTATGAGATACTCCCCACTCTCGGACGCTTTCTCTTCGGCCTTTCAACGCTTGTTAAATCCCGTATCAGCATGCATTTAACATTGCAAACGACATAAGCGGGACGGGCAATTGAATTCGATTACCTTTTACGTGCGATTGACGCTCCAAACTATTCCGATTGTCTAACTAGAGCTATACCGCACTTTTTAGCTACCTCGAAGACAAGAAGCTTTAAATTTTTCAAACAATTTATCACACCACGTGCTGAATCGAAAGTCCGGACTCGTCAATTTTTTTATCAGTTACAAATTACTAGTATATTGTAAACACGGCATATCTTTATGCATATCACTTGAATATATTGAAATCGACATTTAATTTTGTCAAACTGTTTGAAAAGTTGCTTTTTTACTCTTTTCCTTGAACAACTTATAAAATTATATCTATAAGTAATGTTTCCAGGCAATTTTCTGATAAAATCATAATGCGTTTGAAACACCGAAGGTTTTAAATCAATTTCACGCTAGTCGACCGCAACAAAGCTCAAACTATGAGCCTAAAGGGCTCGACGTCTGAATTTCATAACCAATTACAAGCTCATTTACTTCGCTTAGTAACGACCTCTCAGAGCGCATCACCATTGCGTTTCACCTTACAAGTGAAGTGACTTTTTAATTTTTATGTTACGGTATTTCATAGTCCACTCTTGCTTCTATAGGAATATTACATTTTTAATTTAGTTTTTGGAGCACTACTTGCTTTTAGAATATGTATACAATTTTCATTTAATTTGTATAAACACGTACTTGGCCTCAAGTGCATACTATAGTTAACATATCTGTTAAATGAATAAATGTTGGTATTATACACACACACACACATATACACACATACACTCATAAATATAGTATAACATATATTTCTACAATGAGAGCATTGCAGGCTGAGATTTGCATTTCTTCGGTACGCCAGATTCTTTGTAAAAATCCACATAGAGCGTAAAAGCAAAAAAGAAAACCAGGGTAGCTACATATCTGTGATGATAACGGTTATACCTGTAGGGTATTTTCTGTTAAATTGCGGCGCGAATATCGATTTAAAAATTACAGTAGCGAATTTAAAAATAATCACGTATGTTACCAAAGTAATTTTTATGTAAAAAACATTTACTTGGGTATCGATAATGACAAAAGTGTTAGCTTGAAAAATCTTTAATTGATTCAAGCTCTTAATGAAAAGTTAACTGAATTAACCACGTTGATGTGTTTGTAAATTTGCTGCGTCGCGAACTGTCAGTTTTCCTTGATGCAGGTACGTCGCTTCCTGAAACTCTGCCTTTACACGCCAGATTGACACGTCAGATATGCGCTGCATCATATATATATATAGCAAATTTGCGAGTAGGTCGAGCTTGGGCCATAGTGTGGAACTTGCTACTTTCTTCGATATCACTTTCAAAGTACTTGAATAATCGCTTGTTATATAAAGCGTTTTATTTACCATATTTTTTTACCGCTAAATATTTCGATGTTGCTTTTGACGTATATATCAAAATGCGAGTACTCATTTGGATATTTATCAAAGTTGTCAAAGTATAAGCAAAAAGAGGTCAGCTAAATTTTAAAACTTTATTGTCCTTTATTTTCACGTTACTCGTTATCAGAATTTACGAGGTGAAACGTCATATTTCAAAGCTCTCCGATTATAATCCAATGAAGGATCATGATCTGCCTTTCACGAAAATGTTAGTCTACAATAACTAAGTCATGATATTCTATCACATCAGTTACTAAAATTTAATTATATACATGAGGGATATATGTGTTGGCAATAAAAAAAGAAGTAGCACAATGACTTTTTTTGTGTAATCTTGCAAATAAGCACAATCAAATCTACCTGTACAGTTGAAAGTAATTTTGTACTTGAAAGTAAATTGAATTACCAATGATTGTGTCTGAAACAGGCTCTCGACGTAATTCGGACTTGGGCAGTCTGGCGCCAAGCCGAGCGGTAGAGTCACGTCGTAATTCGGACGTGGGTCGGAGCGCGGAGCGTCGTGGTTCGGATATTGGTTTCATGAAAGCCCAACCGAGCGGAGCCAGTCGTCGTAGCAGCGACGTGAGCATTCGAATTCTCGAACGCAGTCCGTTGCACCATCCAACGAGCCCAACAAACAAAACATCCGAGGGTACGACCAAGCTGACCGAGAATGAGCAAGCGGACGATAAATCGGCACTCGTCGATGGCACTTCGACGAGCGAGGAACAGAGTCCCGGTAAAACGGGCAAAAAGAATCTCTCGTGGAAGAGCGACAGTGTCAAGGAAGAGCATCACGAGGACATTACGGCCGAGACTAGTTTATTACCTGATGGCCAGCAGCCTCGTGGCGCCACGGTATGTTTGCTTTTAATTCACCGACCTACTGACCATTGCCAACACAAATACTCGACTATATCCAAAACAAAACATTCGTGGAAAGTTTTGAGAGGGGTGCACTTTAATACACGAGTTTTCATTATTTTCTTGTTGCTTGCGAGCTGCTGGACTTTTCAAGGCTTCTATGCTGATCTATCGCTTCAGAGCCGAATTGGTTTTTATTTCTTCTTTCTCTCGAGATAAGTGCATTTTGAAAGATATATATTTATTCGTGTATCTTTTATGAAAAACGCAGCTTTTATTCGCGTTTACCTCTGAAAAAGACCTTCGGATTTAATTACCACGATATTCGATACTCTCATCGAAGTAAAAAAAAAATCAAATCGCGAGCATAGATCTGATAGAAGAATAAATCTTTTTCAATTGCATTTTGAACTCTATCCTATATATGTTGCTCGTTTCGAATTCAGATACACGAATCGACGATCGCAAAATAATTCGTGAAAATCCACTTTATCGAGGTCGTTGTGGCCTTTTAATCATCGAACATTCCGAAAGCGCAAATGTATCGATCGATATTGAAGACAAGCATGACTTATTTTTCAACGGAGAACATACAGAAATGTTATTTTCAGTTGATGTAGCTAAGAGAAAGTAATTTTATATTTTAAGGACTTAGAGTAATGCTACCGTGTTCGCAGAAGAGAATGTCCTTTCAACAAAGCCTTTGTTATACATTTCTTTTCTTTGAAATAAAAACCTCTAGAAAATTAAAAGAACATTCTTTTGTAGCAGAAAAATAATGTTGCCGTAAAAGTCTTGCAGAAATTCTTAAGCAAGCTTCATTATTAAATCCTTCAAATCATTCAATTGATTTTGCAACGCGGTAATATGCGGAGCCAACTTATACATTCTCATTTAAATTCCAAATAAAAGAGTACATCTATAATTCATGTAGGTATCACCTTGAAATGTCCATCGCAAAGCATCGGTTGAATTTCATAATAGAGTTGTATGTAGAGAGCGCGATTAATATCTGTTGCCTGTAAAACGAGAAATATTAGGTGGACAATTTTGTAATTTCAGGGCGCGGACTTTACTCTTCATTCAATACTGAACCACATTGCGTACGTTAATCGGGCGAAGTCGGATTCGCCATTGTACATTCCCGAGGCGGCGACAGCCGCCGCTAGAAGGGCGCAAATCAAAAGAGTCCTCAATGTTACCTACACCACCGCTGTACTTGGCATCTTACTTTGCCTTTTAGACGTTGGTCGCATCTTTGGACCTTACGGTAAGTTGAAGATTTTACACGATAAAATAAATAAATTCAACTTATACAAATCTTGGAACATTTCAAAATGTCTGTTTTAATTAGCGTCATTCATATTTATTTTCCCGTTTCATTTGATAACCTGTGCAATACTTTCTCGTATTAAACATTAATTAGTTTCTACGCGCCTAGCATTGAGCGTTCATTAGGCTCATACCACAAATTTCAGGCGCTTTATGTTTCGATAAATAATTATTGAAGATAACGTTCAAGAGCTATTTTGAGCTAAATTTAATTCTATCCACAATGAACCATAATACATTACTTTGAAATCGATTTCTCACTGTTATGAGGGAGATGCAATCAATTTTGTTTTCGAACATCATTTAACAAAATCACACTGCTTATCGATCTTCTCGATCATTATGAAAAAAAATTATCAAAAGCCTTTCCCATATTCACTTTCGAATAGAACAATAGCGGTAAATAATAGTTGAACAATTTTATTGTTAACTGTATACGTGCCATATAAAAGTAACTTTGAAAGTTATATCATCTTACACATTACTCAGTATTGCTGTAATAAGAGCAAACTCTGCATAATCCAGAGAAACTTTCAAGCTGATGTTTATTAAAACTTTGCGCTCGGGAGATTTCAATAAAGTTCGTCGAAAAATTTTCTAGTATAAATCAGAACTTACCGATATTCAAAAGCTCGTAAAAGATTGATGAAATACACGTACGGTTTAATACGCGTGAAGTACATAAATGATAACATTTTCTTCTGTATAGCAGGCTTTCATGTGATAAAATAATCCTGTTCATTGTGAGTGTTATAAATGTGAGATGGTTGAAAGCAAAACTATACGGCGCAAACACTAACTAACGTAACTGAACCCGTGCACCTTGTTTATAGGCGTGATATTATGCTCGCGATACATAATCCATTAGTAGATTTAACAAATGAACATGTTTGAAGGAAAACAAATATTTTGTTTGAGTCATGATCTTTTTTCCTTTGGTTAATTGTAATTTATTCTTTTCTGTGAATTTGTTTTTGACACTGTAATCTTTAGATATTTTGAATCAAAAGTGATGTGATTCTTATTGAAAACCTCATTTATTTCGTAAGACTTAATAATTTTCAATATGAGAGTTTATATTTCAAGCTTATAAGATTAATTTACGGTTGACATTAAAGTAGTACATCTCGATGGTAAAGAGAAATGTTGTTCTGTTAGAAAGAACAGTAACATTCATTTGTCCTGAGTAGGATTACTGGCGGAGACAATGAGATATGGGACAAAACCGTTGGTGTGGCAGTTTCCAAAGCCCTGGCCGTGGATAATCTATCAGACGTTGTGCCGCTTCCTCGAGTTGGTGATGGGTTGCGCGATGGCCAGCATAACGAAGCAGCCGTCAGCGAGTCCCCGACACCAATATTTAAGCAGCTATCCTTCTTACAATTTGCGCATGAAACAGCGTGACAACCTTTACATTTAAACAAAAATTCAAAGCAATACTAAATCAACAATTTCGTGTATAATGAAGGTTCAACGTTAAAACAAACAAAAAAAAAAGAAAAAAACAAAAAGTCAAGAACAAGCTAAGACTGAGAGCGTAATCGGGATGCCAAAGTTTTTTTCGCTATTTTAACCGTTTTATCCTCAAAAGTGATGTTGCCACAAAAAAACATATAGCGATGTTTATATATCTCTCATGCCTCGCTAGTGGAGCTTTGTTCGACTCTACGCATTTCCGTTCGATTGCCCTTCTTATTTTCGCGTAGAGCGAATATAGTGTATTTACGAGGATTATTTATTTTTTGGATCTATATAGCATAATCAATGGTTTTCCACTTGTGATGCTACTACCGAGTCAGTTTTATGATATTATTCCATGTGACATCTTTCTCCTATTCTAAACTAAGAGTGGAATTTATCGCTGTGAGTACATATGAAAGTCAATTTCTTAATTCAATTACGAGAGACAAAGTACTACGTAATGTTTTTATTATCTGCTTTATTATTCCTAGTTTACTTTTATTTAGTTAACTTGTCAATTTCTTATTATTAGTCTGAATAATTTTGTTTATTGTTGATAATTCATTGATGGCATCAAACAGAAATACCATACGAGAATTTTTAGTTTATTTAATTTGTTGAAATTAAGAATGAATTAATTTAATTCGACGAAATTCTTTATTTTTGTCTGCAGTACAATGAACAACATTCTGTTGATCCCATCAAGTAATCAGAAGATAATATGATTTTGTGTACTACAAATGCAAATGATTAATGTATAAGCAGCGACTTTTTCAACAAAAAATATTTAGATTAACGCAGCAATAGGACAGTGTGACATTCTAAAAAAAGGTAACTGTGTTCATATGATGTACACTTAAGGAGTGAATTTTCAAAATTCGTACGTATTTAGCAAAAAAACGTCATATAATCAAGCAAAAATTGACAAAGGAAATTTCTTTTCAATCAGCAATATTTGTCTAGTTTTTCCGTAGCTTATTCTATTATTTTTCATGGTATTCTTATAAATAATCTACAATTTTTAACGAATCGAGTACGACATTCAGTATTAATGAAATTAAAAAACAAAAAAGTACCTAAAAATCTTTCAGTACACGTCGCGGCGCTTTACATATTATTTTTTACCAGGTGATGTTTATCTATATAGTCGCGACAATAAAAATGACTGTAAATACATATAATGTAGTAGTAGTTGAGTGATATATATTTACATGATGTTTGAAAAAGTGATTGTCGATTCAGAAAATAGAAATTATTTTGGAATTTCGTACATGTAGTTATACTTGCAGTGAATTTATAAAGTAACTTTTACTTTACACAAACTAAACTGTGAGTAGTATTTGTGATTGAGTTGCTATAGTTATTGTTCCAAAAAAGATTTCTTTTTTCTGAAAATGTCTCAAATCACTAAATTCACAAGCCCTTTCAAAGTGCCCTAACTCTTGAATATTGGACAAAGAATCAAAACGTTGTTCAATAAATATTGAATGTTCAAATAACTTATTTACAAATCAAACTTGTAACAGTGTTGTGATTCTAAATGTGATAAGTGTTTAAATGTTTAGTCATTTAATATTGTGTGCCCTTCGTGAACTGTACTATCACAAACTGTTAAGTCTATATAAGAGAAAATAATTTATAGGTTTCAATGACCTATTGTCTACGAAATATACTTTTACGACACGTTCTAAAATCAAATTGAGAAATGTTAAAATTGTTAATTCATACATATTTTATTAAAACGCTAAATATTGTTAGAATAAAAACAAGACCAAATTACTTAAATGTTTTCAAATTTATTTGACAATATAAAAAAATAGACGCTTTAAGATGAGATCATAAAAAACCATAACAATTGTGATCTTCCTATGTATAGTTTTTAAACATCATCACCGACCGTATACTTTTCCATAATATCGGTGTTGAATCTAAAAAAAAAAGCATTACTGGAAATTGTCCATTGTTAACCGCGTGATTTTGTAGAATTTGATTATTAAGTTACACTTTTCTATCCAATGATGAAGGACCATGTTTTAGAATTAAAGTTTGTAGAAGTATCAAATACTTACTCGAATTGTACGATAAATATGTTAATGTGCCAAATATTCGTTTCTATTTTGTTTTGCCCTAGGACATACGAATCAGAACATTTAAACTCAATTTACAATAGTTTTCTTATAGGTAAAACGACTATTTGTACTACAGATTGAATATATCGTAACTAATGTCGACGTCAAATTGACGTTGAGAAAGAAATTATACACCTGTAATGAGTATTTTTATGAATAGGCGAATTAACAATGATGCTTTCGATACTTTAATGCATTTTGAATCTGCGAAAGACAATATCTATTATGGGAAGGACGTAGCATTTTCATATCAGCAAAAAAAAGAAGGCATAGCGTAGAAAATAAAATGAGCGATAGTAACATGAAATAGATTTGTAAAATCTTTAGAAAAAAAATTATTTGGTTATTTTTTCTGTGTTATATTACCGTGATGTACAAACTCAGCTATACTTAAACATGTTCCAGAGCCTCGATAAAGATGTTAAAAGTCGCCGAAAATACATTTGTTACGATTTATTAATTAACCTATAATTTTGCCTCTAAAATTAAAATGAAAAATTGTCTGGTATATTAGTTAACGGTTTCATTGACCATTGCGATATTATCAAGTATTTGAAAGAGAATGTCTAGCAAAATATATCGTGTATTGAAGATTGTTGTCTTTCCATTGTTTAGATATATTTGTAAGTACAGTACTTTCATTTTGACGTTTACGTTATATTATGGACATCTGTCGATAAATTATATTAAACAACTAGCAATATCCATTACTATTTTGTTGAAAAATTCTAAAATTGACTTAAAGTTTATCATGATTCTTTAAAAATTTTCACTATAATACGTTTTAAAATAAATGTGTTTATTAAATTAAGAGATTCTTGATCATAAACCAATTTCCACAATGTACATTAAAAATTCAATTTACTTGTGAATTACAGAATGTATGTTTGAAAACGCATTAATAAAAAAAACTGTTTTAAAATTATTTGAAATGCCTTTTATTTAACTTTGACGTTCAATCACTTGAATACAAATTTTTCTCTAAATTAAAGATAGATGCTTGGAAATGAATGTAATAGTCAACAGTTCATTTCACACTAACACAAACTTCATTTACAATTAGAATGTTATCTTTCAATTAAATTTCTCCTGAATGTTTAATAGATTTCTTAATTTCAAATATGATAAGTTAAGTGTAAATTATTGACTAATCTATGACGAAAATAATAAAGAAAAATAAACCTTGCTGTTTTTTTAGAATATTTGCAATCAAATATCAAATGAAATAGTAAATAAATGGTTAGATTAAATTTTATAAATTGAAAGTAACATTTTTTAAATGGCTCAAGACACATTTTATAAACATTATTTTACGGCACTCTAAGTTAGTGGTTTTAAATTTCGTATTGAGCTTTTCATAATTTTTTTAAAAAATATTATGCTCCAGGAAAGAATATGAAGCTCCAAATCTCGTTAACACAATTAGTACTTTAAGTTTAGTATAAACAATAATCAATGCAGAAATTCAATATTTACCTAAGTGTGTGCTTTGTTTAGTCGTATAAAGCCAATTCAACATACACTAACAATGATAATTTGTTAATAAAAATGTCAATATAACTGCTACTAGTACAAATCGAGCGAATTTGTTCATAGTACTCTGTTGACATATTCATTCGATGCCTATAAATTGTATTAAATTATATGAGACGATATATGAAACACATACAGGTAATTTATCCCTTGTAATTAAAATAATCTATGTCTGATTCCGGAGATTTCGGTGGCGAGGCCGAAGTTGTAGGCAATGATTTTAGACTTTTTTTAGAGTTGAGTTGCGTAACTTCTTTGTTCCTAAAAGAAGATTTTTAAATAGATTATTTTGTAACCAAATTAGTGAAGTAAAAAATAATATTTTGAAACTTGAAAAGTTACCTGTCAGTGCTATTGAGCATTGGTCCTGGAACTTTTCGTTGCCCACTTTCTCTCTGCAATAATTCTAATAAACTATAACTTGGTAACCAGCACTGAAAATCAAAAAAAGTAATCTTAAATATTATATTTAAACGTAACTTGATCAATTATTTCTTTAGTATAAACCTTATCTTTTACAGCAGTAGCCACAATATTACGCTTGGGTTCATCATCGTACGCCTGGGCTTCACAACCGAAATGCTCGCACGACTCGTGAACAAACTGTCTTTTGTCTCTGGTCATAATTTCAAACGATAAACTTCGACTTTTCTGTTTGGAAACTTTAGCCTTTTGCACAAGTTCCGTGAGTTTGTCGTGAACCATTTGGCAGAAGGCGGGATCTTTCTTGCCCCAATGTTTCATGTGATTGTTATACTTCGGCATTAATTTACCACTCAAATCGGGATTAACGATCTGCAAACCAAGCGTTAATCGGCGATTTCTCTCCAATATTTTACATTCCTCATTGCACTCTAGAGTCTTCAGTTGGTTTTGTTTCTTGATTCCTTGACCAAAAACTTCTTCAAGATTAATTGAGTGTCCCAACTGTACCTCGGTCATTTTACTTGCTAAAATTCCACTAGCTATTCTCTGATAATCTCGTGCATTTTCGGCGCACACGCGAGACATGGTCCTGTGACCGCACTGGCACGTGACCTGTAATAATATGTATTTGATGATAATGAAAACTTGTCACAATTATGCGTTCAGTCTACATGATCAATAATATCAATTTTACACTATTCAAAATGAAAAGAATAAATTTCGTTTGTTTTCGTTACGAGTAATAATGCATATAGCAACTATGTAATGAGTATGTTAAAGCAAGATTTACCAATATAAACCAAAACTCACTTTGACCATTTCCTTGCAAGGCACATCAGGACACTTGCCTTCGTGGCAAGGAGCAGCACATGAGTGCCCACAGAGTTCTCTTGGCATAGTACACGGCTGCACGCAGATCTGACCAGGTTTCTCGCAAGGTCCTGAGTGACACATCTGAATGCATTTATGTCTACCACAGGAGATTAGTTTGTTGCAAGGCAATCCACAGGAAATCTCGTTCAAATAGCAGGGCACAGATTTACGCAACTCGTGTTTGCCATAGCACCACTTCTCCGATAGAATACTGCAAGGAGGGCATTCGGGATCGCTGTGGCAATGGTGCAGTACTGGGTGATCACAAGAGTGCTCGCGACTACAAGGTTGATCGCATGCGGGACGACGAGTGCCGCATGGCACCGGAGGATCAATACATTTTGCACCGCATTCGCAGTACAACTCTTCGAAGCTGCTACGCCAACACGGTTGGCATCTTCCTATTAAAAAGTAAAATAATACATCGGTTTTGGTAAATGTGATAATTTTATACAAATAATTCATAGATTCGTTCGAAAGATAACTACCTTTATGGCAGGTTTCTTCACACCTATGTTTACCGCAACTTAAAATCTTCACACATTGATACTTGCATATATGTTCAATATCAATGCAACACTTTTGGTTACACTTGTGCTTGCCACAAGAGCGCTTCTTTGTACATTTCTTTTCACAGCGAGCATCGTCTGCTTTAGTGGTAAGTTCTTTACAAGGGATTTCTTTGTCCATGTGACCACAACGACATCTAACTTTCGTAAACAGATCACATTCTGGACAGTCACCTTCGTGGCAGTTAGCATGGCAGGTATGAGGATTGCCTGTTGAAAAAAATGAGGTGTTAAATTTTGTAGAATTATATTTTGACAATTATTTCGATTAGATATAAAACACAAGAAAAGAAATGTTTAATAAAAAACATAGACTTTCGGGCAAAAATAAAAAATGTACATACTCGGTTGTCCACATTTTAGACGTTTGGAACAAATTTTATCGCAAGTTGGAATCGGATCTAAGCAATTTTCTCTCTTGACAGTTAAGAGCGTTTGTCCACAACAGCAATATCTGACAATTTCAGGTTTTAATAAACACGGTACACATTCACCTGCATGGCAAATGTCCTGACATTTATGATTGCCGCAATCCAACATTTTTTCACATTTATTTTCACAGGAGTACATTGGCGGTAAATCTAAAATACAAGTTTGTTCTCGAGTATGTTTTCCACAGAAACATTCTGAAATAAAAAATTGTCATAAGTAATGATAATACATCTTACAAACAATAATTTGTACATACCTTGCTTGACAATTTGATTACAGGGCTCACAACTACCATGATGACATGGCTTTTCGCATTTGTGCACGTTGCAATTAAGTACTCGACCACAAATATCTTTGCATACAATAAGAGTATCAGTACTGCATTTTTGAGTTTGCTGCATTCTACCACAGCCACAAGATTTGGTGACCATGGCATCACAAGGTGGACAACAACCAGGATGACAGAGTAACGTGCACTTATGGATGCACTTGATGTCGGTGCGTGATCTACCGCAAATCTCACCACATGAGTGTGCGATATCTTGTCGATTCCATATCGGGGCCGTTGTTTTGCCGCAAAAACAAAGGTATTCTATTGGTATGCTGGTAGTGACGTTTTGACAAGCAGGGCAACGCCAACCACTATCTGTATTTTAAATGAGTTGAAGTAACTCAGAGAAATTTTTAATTTTTCATTGAAAAATTATATCACCTAGTTTGAAACTTACCATCATGAGATGAGGTAGCCCACATTTGAACACATTTTAAATGTATTACATGAAAACAATTTTTACATGACCATACATAGTCTTGTTGTCTTATGTATTCACAGCATACCAAACATTCAAGTTGACCACGATTCAAAAGCTCTGTTAATCTTTCTCTTTGACTTGCAGCATCATCTTGAAAATAAATTTTAAGATTGTGACATTTAATTGCGGTGCATATAAATATACTTGTTATTATTTAAAGTTAAAGAGAATTACCTGGCTCATACTTCTTGTAATGCAGGCGTTTTACTACAGGTTTGTCTAATGATTTGCCATTTCTAACACGCCAATCAGTTATCTCCTTATCTGTATTTTCTCTAAAGGTTCTTTTTTCATATTTATTATCTCTGTTGTAGTTGTTTCTATTATATCCATTATGCTCTGGATAGTTACTCCTTCTGTCTCTAGGATCTCTAGGATTGTAGCGTTCTTTTCTATCGTAGTATTTGTCGCTTCTACCATTGTTAGGGCATGGTTTGGAATTTCTAGCAGATAGATTACTTATGGATGATGTATTACCAGCTTCAATTGCAGAATAGGACTTTTTGTTGCTGTGACTACCATTCGAGATTCCACTTAAGTTTCTTTCTACATCACTATTAGCATTTATTTTGGAATAAACATTATCTAATTCATTTTTCTCAAAGTGATTAAGTTTATCTGAATAATCATGTGGTTTACCAGCATAATCACGAGGCTTATCAGAATAATTCCTATTATAATTGTTGTAGCGATCATTTTGAGGTCTCCTAGAATTTTGATTTCTTTCATAATCTTTTCTATTTTCCTTATAAAATTGTCCATCTTGTGTATCTCTCCATCTGTTTCCTGTATCCTTTTTTGTTTCAAATTTTCTATCGTTATACTTTTGTCTATTATCTGCATGTGGAACATTTGCTGGTTGAGCTGCATCTTGATCTTCATTATCTTTATTCCATTGACTTCTATTATAACTTTTGTTTGAATCAACAAAATTTATATGCTCTTGCATGTTTTGATTTGGTATAAATTCGGTTGCAGTAGGTTGTAAATTTGAATGCTCAACCAAATCAGATGAATAATAATTCTTATAATCTTTACGTTTATTACCTTGGAAGTAATTATTTTTATTATGACATTGTTGTGCCTGTCTTCTATTATCTTCAAAAAAACATTGATCACTGTTATTCAGATGGGACTCAGATTTTGTAGAATTCTGAAAAGGTGAATAAAGTAGATTAAAGAATAAATACAAATATTAATTAAAGACTTACTTCATTGGCAACTGCAGTAACATCCTCATTAAAATAAGAATTTGTACTTTGTGCAATATTTGGCACCATTGATGGAATGCCATTTCTGTTGGTAGAATTATAAAAGTCAGGGTGGCTTCTTTCAAATGTTATACTATTTTCTATTGGATATGGACCTATAGCACTTTGTGCATATGCATTGTTTGTATAGCAGTTCCATGGATGGATATTAGCTGATGCCTGATTGTTACTGGAACTGACATAATAAGTAGATCCATCTGGATCTTGGTACGATCCATCCCAAGTAGCCATTGCAAAATTGAAACTAACTGACTGTTTTATCTGCAATTTTGAAGAAAAAATAATGTCAACAGCTTTTTTTATAAAATGTGCGTGAACTTGTGATATCGACGAATCATACAACAAAAAATGTAACGGTACATTTGCAAACGTAAGCATTTGCAACTTATTTCATAACCTAACACATATCCTTTGATTGCAAACTTATCGTTCAAACGAATCTGTTGAAATCTTATCAATTATGCTAATGAAAAATTTATCAATTAAAGTCATGCTAATAAAATATGATGGAATAACTTACCTATAATTTTCTTAATTGTACTACTAAAGAAACAAGTGTTAATATCATGAGAGAAAGCAAGCAAAAGCATGGCGCCTTTGTAGCTGTAGCACACCACTTAGAACCCAACGATATTAGAGGGAATTTACAACACAGCAGCAGAATTCAGACTTGTGAATCTGACGCCCAAAAACATTTTGTAATCATATTTTTGAGTTTTCATGAGCTAAAACGTTTTCGCCCTTTTTCCGGATTATGTCTCCGCTTGAAATTTTATTTCCGGATTTTCCGTTTTTAAGAACATTGCGAAAAAAAATCGGGCGTTCGTACAGCGCGCAAAATGCATTAAACATTTTTCTCCTGTTTAAAAAGAAATAATATCGATAGCGGATGATAGCTCCTTATTCCCGGATTACGAAACAATTTTCCTTTTGACAATTTTCTATCCAAAATTGAGGAAAATGTAAAAATTAGTAATATGCGGCAGTTAGTCGATAAAACAGGTCAAACGTTTGCTAATCACCAGCTGGTGTGCGCGCTGTACGAACGCCCGATTTTTTTTTCGCAATTTTCTTAAAAACGGAAAATCCGGAAATAAAATTTCAAGCGGAGACATAATCCGGAAAAAGGGCGAAAACGTTTTAGCTCATGAAAACTCAAAAATATGATTAAAAAATTTTTTTGGGCATCAGATTCAGAAGTCTGCAGAATTCTAAGTTCTGATCTTGACCAGGTTCACGTGAAATTGGCGATATTTATGCTATGTGAATGTAGGAAAGTCAGAAATGCCACTTAACGTCATTTCAACGTTACACCTGTTAACGGCAAAGAAGTTCTCGAATGATAAATTGTAGATTCAATATTATACAATTATTTTTTTACTAATTTTTTATAATATTGTTAATTATAAAAATAAGTTAAATATTAATTTTATTAAAAATAGAGTATTAGGATTTCTTAAATGAAAAATAAGTTTACGTGATATAATCTTTAATTATTTTGAAAAATGAACAATATAATTGGAAAAACTCCTGTTAGCCTCTTAAAAGTAGATAAATTCTTTGATTAATTATTGATTTCCTATTGATTAATTATTTATTAGTCGCGTTATTTCATTCTATAATAATTTATATCGATTAGCCTTTACCGGCAGTACTGGATGTAATCTATGAATGGGTAATTTATTGTTTCAATTATTTTATTTAAAACATGATTTTCAATTATTCAATTTGATATATAGTCTATGTTAAGCATGGTAATGCCGATTCTTTAGATATAAGGTTTAGTCTAGGTAACTGACCTTTGGCATACTTGTCTCAGGCTGCTACCGTCTATCGTGGTATTGAATTCATTTTCAGTTTGAAAAGTCGACTTTGAAAAAAATCTGAAATAATAATAATTTGAAAAACTATGTCAATTGTGAAAAAGCTATGAAGTAAACGTTTTATTTTACTATTTTATAATAATAGAAAATGGAAATCTCAAATTTTTTTACTAAAAAGATGTTTATGTACTGTAATTTATATCTACTTGGTGATTTTTCGTGTCAAAAGAAAGAATTTAAGGATAAATATTACACTGACTACTGTACAAGCAATTATTAATTTCACAACTATACTAACAACTAGTTCCGCTATTAAATATTAAAATATTATTCTTAAGAGAAAAACAATATTTAAGCACTTATAAAAGTAAACGTAAACAAGTATATTTTTGTATTACTGCCCTACAACCAAATTTTCTTTAGATTTTAGTAAAATGTTCAAATGACGATAAAGCTTAATATAAAAAAGTAAAGTATTCTAATGGACTATTCATCCTATTTCTTTAGTAGCTAGTTGTTAAAGTATACCCAAAGGATTAAATTCAAACATGACTGCCGGGGTAAAACATTTTCTTGAACAAACTTTCCAAAGCTGAAGTACATACATACAGCGAGCTAGTAAACAAGCGGGCCGCAGTATTCATTATTCGGCTAATCCGGCAATGTTTTACTTTTATCCAAGTGCACACCGAGACGTTCTCGAACTCGGGGCGTGGAGGAGGCAGAGCCATTGTTTTCCCAAGTCCGCGCGTAAAACTTGAGCTCCGCTCGATGCGGTTCGCGAAGCTGCTGCTACTGCGCTTCGTTTTCCTCCGCATAGCAGAGGAGCAATAAGTTTCGCTGGCAAGTGCACAGTTAAGCTTCGCAAAAGATTCAATCTCCTTAGCGAAGGCTTTTATTGCTGGCCATGCCCCGTGTATATAAGCTTGATCTCTAACGCGCTAGCAGCAGGCGCAACCGACGAGAATTATAATCTCGCTTTACTCGCTCTCTCGCTTCACTGAATCCCACGTGCAACGGCGAGCATATAAAACTTTCACGAGAGAGTAGGCTAACTGCAGTCCATTGCTGCGGAAGAATTACGCGTTTGCTCTTCTTTTTCCCGATACCAATGTACGCCGCCAAGACTCGGACCGTTCGTTTCTTTGTACAATCTTATCAGCGATCGTGCACGTTTTCTCCCCCCCGTAGTTAATTACTTCGTTGATGCGAAATTGTGAAATCGGGAAATGACTTGTCCGACGCGGATGCACTGGATGCTGCCTTGCTGCAAGGCTACGTCTAATATGCGGATGAGTGTAGTAAGCCCATATTTAACGCGCAGCTAAGTAATGGTTTATTTTGCGTGATTGCATTTTTGAGGGCAGAGGGAAAGAGAGAGAGAGAGAGAGAGAGAGAGAGAGAACTTAACTTGCCGATTTGGAAACTAGGAAAGTGATTCAACGTGTGGATGCACCAACAGAGAAGACGAAAATCTCTCTCTCTCTCTCGCTCTCTAATATCATTTTCGTGTTTTTTTATTAGTTTATGTAATGCAAAGAGTCGCTTAATTAAACCTCGGATACTACTTTCACGAGTGGATTTGCCTATAATGTTTCATCTGCAAATTTTAATGATATACTATGAGATTATATGTCTTATGTTCAGTTTACTTTACAGTTTTAACATTCTCTCTCTCTCTCTCTCTCTTGTTGCGAGATTTTCACTGTAACGTTAGTAGAATATGTCAGTTCATACAAAAAAGAGTAATATCATTCCGAATGTGAAAATTGTTGTTGATTGTCAATAGCCTGTATTCATAAGCAAATTTCGTGTACATCAGCTATATGTTGATTACTGTAAAATATTGAAAATTACCGAAAGCGTTGCTACGCGATTTGTTTTAGTTTTTGTGACTCTATTTTTGTTAGTGAGGTAGAGCAGGATCTCGATACAATTAGTTAAATCTTAACCGCTCCATTCGTTTTATAAACAGCTGTTCTATATCGCCTATCTATACAATAATATAATTTTATCAGTTTTTACATTTTCTTACGAGCTTAGAAATGAGATTTGCTTCTGCGCGAGAGTAAAAGAAAACCGCATATCCTAATCTCAAAGGTCAAGGTTTACCAGCGAGAGATCTTGCGCACGTATATAGTAGATCTGACGCACACGTGCCGCAGCTTTCATCGTGCGCGCGGTTAAACACCTGAGCACTTACTTACTTTGAAAAATTTTCTTTGCGGTCGTCACGCTAAGGAGAGCTCGAGATCGTGAGAGCGTGGAAGATTTGTTATCACGATGTCCAAATGAATATGTGAGTTTATACATGTGTTGAGCCTTCTTTTTCTTTTTTTTTTCTTTCGTTTTTTTTTATCAAAAGCGAAAGTTGTTTCTATTTGATTTTTTAAGAGATGGCACAGTCAATGACACGTGACAACTCGTTTTTACAGTTAATATTTCACGCCGATATTTTAGATATTTCTTAACCTTTGTCCGTTACAGTAGTTATACACAAAAGCAAATTGGAATATCATTCTATATACAATAGCTCATTATTGAGTTATTGTAACTGCTTGTGTAACATTAAATATGTTTTTGAAGGTTAACTGCTCAGTTACAAACAAAATAAACTTTAAAACAACGAGCAAATAGAAAGTTTTGCTTTTGCTTTTTACGCTCGGTCGCGAAAAGCCAAAAGTGCGGTAGATGCGCATCTGCATATCAAACCACATAGTCTTTATTTTCACTTTTAAATTGATACATGCATGCGTATACGTTACACGCAAAAGATAATTTAAAACGACCGAGAATGAGTGAGATTTTCCAAGATTACTAAGTGTACGTTACGAGTGTCCAAGCTGTGTTATTAATGCGGAAAATTTACTTTCAACGACTAGCATCATCTTGAAATTGTAGAGATCTCGGCTATACGCATTTCGTGCGCTTATCCAGATCCCAATCTCACGTTGGCGAAGTATTTTATTTCATTTTTTAAGAACCGTGCTTTATTGCACGAAGTTTGATAGGAAAAAGTTATTGATTGGATAACTAGAAACGTGTCAAAGTAGTACGTTTTATAAATTATTTATTTTAAATGCGAGTAATATTTTATTAATGAACTGGACCTTCAAAGTTCCGAATTTACGATAGTATAAGAGATAGTTTGATTTAATGTAATTTAATTTAGCAGAAAACAAGTATCACGACAATTCCGAATTTGCGATAAAAAACAATTGATTAATGATACGATTATTTATAAAAGGTCAATGATTCACTGTAACATGAGAAAGATTAAACGGCATTGGCGTAATGTATGAATAAACCGGCCTATTACGTAAAAACGGGTTCTCAAGATCAGTGAGCACGAGAGAAGATTAAATCGCGCCATTTATTTGGCAGAGCTTGGGCATTTTGAAGGATGATGGGTTCTACATAAATAACTATTACATGTGGTACGAGCGTCAAACTTTATCATTTTTTTCTTGCATCCTTCCGAAGACATTCAAACTTTTACGGTATATACTTATTCGGACGTTCACCGACTTTTCAAGATGGAACTTTGTCATGTGTAAATGAGAATTTTTTAAATCTCGATTAATAAGTTTATCTTCGCAATATAAAAGCTACCATTATCTGTACAAAGTTTCTACGTTATCATCAAAATATTGTTCGGTAACGTTATACAGGAAACGCGTATACACAAAAAAAAACTATAATCATAGGTTCACTAAAACATTTCTTATTTTTTAAGACGAAAAATATCGCGAAGATTATTTTTTTTTGAATCCTTAATATTTTTAAAATAATTTTAAAATAATGCCCGTCAGACAGGTGCAATGAATCATTGAAA